GTGCGCTCTGTTCAGGGCTGCTCGCCACGAGGGGTGGCACAAAGCAGTCTCAGCTTCAAAATATTCTGTCTGGCAACAAGACAAGAAAAATCCAACCACTTCAAGAATCGCCAGGGTCAACGCCCTGCTTGCTGTGCCAGTACAAAGAGACAGCACCGGCCACATGCAGGCAGACAGGTTGTCGATCACCAAAAGTGCTGTGGAGCATCATTGCCAGGCCACTACACGCTGCGATGGTACCAGAAGACAAAGATCGCATCAACGAATGGGTGGAAATGCTTGGGGCTCTGGTCCCTGCTGCACCTGCGCAGCCTGTCAGCAAATCACACTTTGCCAAGCACCCCACCTCAACAGCTGCTGTGGTTGACAAAGCATCCACCAGGAGACTACCGCGTCGTCCCCCCTGCCTCTCCCAGATGCGAATGTGGGCAGTGCCAAAGAAGCTGTCACGGCAGAATGGCGCCAACCCCTCATCACCAACGGGTGCCCTGCATAATGCAAACTGCAGTGTCAGGGCACACTTCAGGGCTGATGCAGTGCAGAGAGGACAATTTACAGAATGTGTAGATTGCAAATTTGCAAAAGAAATGAACAAGAAAGGCAACTGGGGAATCAGCAAATGTCCTGGGGCAATAAAAGGCTGGCGTCCTTCAAATTTGATAACATGAGGGTTGGGCAGTTCTTCAACAAGCATTGTTAGGCCCTCACAGACCGGTGACCACTTGCGCTCGCCGATTGTCTGAGTTTAGTAGATATGCTACCTCTGTCACAAAAGCATGGCCGCCTTTCCAATTCGAGCAAACAAAGGTCGAAATGTGCGAGAAGGAAATTCGACGAAAACAACTTCAACACATCATATTGAGAGCCAGTAAAGCCTTAAAACGTAGCAAATGGTGACGCCATTCTGGCAATACTTGAGGAGGAGCTGAAATGCGACCTTGTGTTTTGTCGGGACCTCAGGCAGAGCAAGGCGACTTCGTCTTGCCCTTCAAAGGCGGTGGATCGAGCTGAGCTGTCTCCAGGAAAGATGCTTGAAATGGCGGTTTGGTATACACTAAAGATTCGGCAAACTCGAAGCAGAATCCCAAGCAAACGATGCAGGGTTGCTGCAGAATTTTGGGTGTCAACAAGAATTTTGCGTATGTTGTGGCCAACGGCCAGGAGACACCTAGATTAGTGCAGGAGCATGACCTAGCTGACACAATAAGGCTAGGAAGGCTGTGCATGCTGACACTAATTTCGAAGAAATGAGTCAGCATAATGGAAGAGATGGTCCACAGAGTGTGATTGCAACGATGCTAAAACTCTTGAAGGGTTAAAGTAGTGCCTATTTATTGCCTACACTGGTTCTTCCATAATTTAGGGGAAAATACGCTGGCACACGTGGGCATTACGTGAGCACAAAACTACGGAAAGTCAGTCTCTGACGGATATGGACATGGACACTTTTGATGGGGCTGTGAATTTCCTGCTGTATGGCGATGACTAAAGTAACCAGGATCCACATCAACCCAAAATCGACCAAGGAATCCCAATCTGGTAGCAGATTGACTAATTGAGTTGAAAAAAGTGGCAACACGTTTGGGGTGGAGGTGGTATGTCATGATCAGTGTGTTCAATATCAACTGCCTATAAGGACACATTCATCAACTCGTTGCCTCCATTGTTGTCTTGTGCTTAAGTTTCGCCCACCTCAGGACTGTTCCGGCATCGGGTTTTGTCTCCACGATGAGCTCTGCTTCCGCTGTGCTATTCCTAGCCTGCATGCGCCAGGATCCCCAGGGCTCTACTTCCCACTCCACTTCGCCACTCCATGGCACGAGCTCAATGAATTCACCCTGTATGCACAAAAGTTAGTGTTCTGAGTTCTAGATAATTCCCTTCTCCTGCTTCCTGCTTGAGATCTTGTGGGAAGAGGAGAATGGCTTGGAATGGGGAGTTGTCTTCTCAGCAAGATTTCATGTTGTATACTTCTGCATCATTTGAATGGGGAGTTGTCTTCTCAGCAAGATTTCATGTTGTACACTTCTGCATTATTTTCTGCAGCATAGGCAATTGCAATGCTGTGGAAAATGATACACAAGACAGCAAGTGCAATGGGAGCAACATTTAATCGAAAGCACAACAGACATGGATTAAAGAGGGGTACCCTTGTGTCCATGTTCTGTGTGTACATGCACTTTAAAGCACAACATGAGGACGACCAGCATTATCGCTGGTTTGAGACCTTACGTGTTGGTGTTGCTTGCAAGGATATTGGCCATGGTGTGAAAGTCACCAAACACAACAGTATCATGCCAGCACTGCCTCTCCAGGTGCCACTAAATTGTGTTGTAAGGTGTTTGGACAACAGCAACAAATGGAATTGACACAACAGTACCTTGTAATGCACGCCAATCATGCCCACATCCTCTTCCACTGCCTGGAGTCCAAGCTTTCGTTTAGCTCCAACCGACGTCAAACACAAGTCTGGATGCCTGCATCACAGCTCAGTCTGACAATCAAAAACTATCCTAATGTTCAAGGATAATGTCATGCAAAGCAGCACCCCAAACCAAAACACAGCAGGCAAAATCGTAACACAGGCACCTGTCCAGCTTGCCAACATCCTGTGAATACAAAAACACTGCCCAAATTGCTCAAACTACCAATAATTCCTTTCCCCCATGGAGGCAACAGAATCACAGGACAGCAAAGCAAAGAAGATCTGTCAGCGCACCCATCGAAGTCGTTGCACTGAACCCAGAACCATTTGGAAGGAAATCCGGCTCCCCAATTCTTCTCATAATATGAAGGGGCGTCCCGGAAGTTGTACATCCGATCTCCCCACTTGAACCAACCGCTCGCCAGGCCATGCGACATGAGCACCTGCCGAGAACGCCAACACAAACAGTCTTAGGCTGTTGAAGCACCCCAATGGAAACTGAACCCCAGACAATGTGCCCCTGATACCACATACAACTGTGGCAAGCACATGCCAGTACAGTTGTGCCTGACAGATGTGGCAACACAGTGCCCTTGCACCATCTCTTTGGTGGGAGTGAGGCCATGTCCTTTCCATGCGACAACAAAAAATGGGGGTTTGCTGATGGACAAACATATCCCTCGATTCCATGCGCCAGAGTATGACAAGAGCTTACCCGAATGCTTCCATACATGCAAGGCGATGCTAGACCGTTTGTGCAACAGTGACACGGATGAGGCTGTGTTCCCTGTGCACTAAGCAACAGGCACAAGGATGGCCCAGCACATGGACTTTGGGGCCCAATTGCATATTAATTCACATCAACTTTACACATCAATACCTGCAGCCCAAACCACTGCACACATCTATTGTGGCCTCATCGTGCAGCCCCCATCAGTGCCCACCAATCATCACCTGCCAGTGTGGCTCGAAGACTGGCAGCGCAGCAAGCCAGCCTGCAGTGGACTGTTGCCTTTGGCCAGAGCTGCCCCAGCCGTAGATGCTGTGCACATTGAAACACCAACTGCACGAGTCCACCGTGGGCTGGATCTTTCCTGGGGTGGAGGAGTCGTCATGGATGATGGAGCCTTGGTGCAATGTGGCTGTGGATTGGAAGCCATGCTCTACAGTCTTGTCGAATGTCACCTGTGGATGAGTGACATCGGCCCCCATCAGAATTAAGGGATGGTCTATGGTACCAGGGTCCGCCACCATGTGTTGTTGTTGTTGGACGGGTGTGTGGGGAGAAATCATGAAAGCCTTGCAGCTATACCAGGAATCTCTTGGCATGAAGGTAAACCAGGCATTGCAAAACTGGCACAGTTGTTGTAGGATGGACACCTCCACTGTCTAGACTAGGCTGCAACAAGCTGTCTGTTGGCACATGAGTCAGACAATTATTATAATGCGTCAAAATGATGGCCATCACCAGAGGTGAAAACAGCAGTACGACTGTGGAACAGAAAGTCTCATTTCCAGCTCAGAATAATGCTTGCCTATGGGCATGGCTCCCCATTGGTACCAGGATTCAGTCGCTCAAAACTACTGAGCAAATAAAACTTGTGTCTGTGCATTAAACCATCAGGAAATCTGCGAACACTGATCAATGATGCACAGTTTATTTGAAACGGAAATGGTGCCTCGACAGTCCTCAAGTCGACATGAGTGCTTTGGGCAGCTCAGCACAGGATATTGATCGGTTTGCATCAAGGGGGGTCAATGGAGCTTTCAGAGATGCAAATCATCCACCTCAGAGACTGGCCTCTTGGGGGAACCGATTCCACCTGGTCCCGACTTGGGCTTGAAGCAGTGCCCCAGCGCCAGGTAGCTCCTCTCGGCCCAGAACCTCCGGACGTCTTTCGTGTGCTGGACAATGTAGCCGTCTCCGGGTCCCATGACCTGGGCGCCCACGCCGGGCGTCCCGCCGTTCCCGGCCGGGTCCTCTATAGAGAATATCAGCGCGAAGCTGTCCTTTTCCTCGGGAATTGTCACCTTGAGGCAGCACACAAACTCGATTCTTGACAGAAACTGGCAAGCGCGCCACCAACAAGGGGTGCCTTGCACCACCGAGGGCGAAGGAGGGGCGGGCAAGTGCATTGAATGGCGCCTGCGGTGGCCAAGGGCGTTCATGGCGTGGGACTCGAGCTAACGGCCTCGAGCGAATCAGAGCCAATAAGGCGTCAACAACTCAACGTGGTCAGATATACGAGCGAGAGGCATTGCGACTGCGACAGTGCCCTTCCAGGGGCGTAGCGATCTGCACATCGCGCAGGGCGCCCACCACCTTGAAGTACCATCCCTCGAAGAACCGCCGGTCGGTGCCGTCCCAGTGGTAGCCGCTGTGCGGCGTGGTTACGGCGCCCCTCCTGCCCGCCACGGCCCGGGCGGCGATCGACGACCGCTCCGACGCTCCGAGGCCGCCCTTAGAGATCGCTCCGCCGCGGCCGTCGCCCGCCGCGCGCGCCCTGCCCGCGAGGGGCGCGGCACGCGCACCGGCGAGTGGCCCAGACATCGCCTCACCCCCTCAGCCCCACACAGCCACCCCACGCAAGGCCGATATAGGAAAGCGGCCCGAAAAGGTGTGCACCACCTGCGAAGTAAGACTTGCAAAAGGACTAGCACACTGCAGTGCACAGCAAAGACTTCTTTTGCTTGAAGCCTTCCTCAAACACTTTGTAATACTATTTAACGGCTTTTCAGACCTTTTTTAGGACTTTTCCACACCGAAGTGCCACGGGACGAGAGCGCCGGACGTCCAGTCCACGCAGCCCGGTGCCCGGCCGTCCGGCTCGCGCCGGCGCCGGTCCGCAGCTCCGGTCCCCGTGGCCCGCGCCAGATTCGAGAACCTGTCACATCACCACCTCCCTGGCACAACGCCGCGTCTCATACTTGACCGCAAGCAGTTGCAAACGGCTGGCGGCGTCGGGAAGGGGAGGGCACGGTCGCGCCATGCTGCCCGTGCGCCACGCGCCGCGCCGCTTCGCCCTGACCTGGACCCTCGTGGCCGGCGCCCTGGCGGCGGCGCTGCTACTTCGGCCGGTGTGGTGGCACGTGTACGCGACGTCCTTGAGGCCCGACGGCGGCCCTGTTTCCATGCGCGCCGCGGCCGCCGCGGCGCAGGTTCGGGCGCCCTCAGGTGGGGTGCGCGACACTCGCGATCAGTTACTTAAAATCAAGAAAAAAAGAATCTCGATGTAAGGTGATGGCGTGGTCGTGCGCCTAGCGCCGGCCGAGATCTCGCGGGAGGGCCGCGGTTGCGCGGGCGCAGATCGCGTCCGATGCGCTGATCTGACAGTGACGGAAAGTGGTTCGTGGGCGTGTCTCTGTGTTTGAAGAGGAGGGCGCCGTGAAGGTGTCGGGTGGGTGCGATCAGACCGACGCCCGTCGCGGTCGTCCCCGATGGGACGGGGTGCAGTTCGGCGCCTGGCGGTGGTTTGAGCACCAGTGGGGATTTCTGCATCATCTTTCTAATACATTCTGTAATACATGGAAAACAGTTTCAGGGCTTTGTTTAGGAAAGTGGCTGCTCATTGTATGAAATGGCTTTTCTTCATTTCACAAAGTATCTCCAGTGGTGCGGGCACTTGCCCGTGCGCCCATGAGGTGTTTGCACACAGTGAGTATCTTTGGTAGGAATCGACAAATGTGTACCATATTTACATTGGCTGGCGACTCATGTGCTTGGCGTCCTGAAGGTGACAACGAGCTTTTGTGTAGCCGATGCATTTGTTTGTTCCCCACCGCTTGGCAGCTCCGCAGTCCTTCATGGCACTGAAATGAAGCAGAATGTGAGAAGCTGGCATTTGTAGACTGTCCGAAAATAGCAAATGCAGATTGACATTTATAAAATCTCCAAAACGAATAACAAAAGAAAACATAATGCTTCGGAAAGGTCACAGCCCAGACGCACGACTTCGTCCCGCTCAAACAGTTTCTCCACAACGTGTGCTTTAGCAAGAGCTTTAGCAATGATCACATGTTGAACACATACAGAGCCTGCGAGCAATGGGTAATGATTTGGTTGTGTGCGTACATGTTTACCAAATATGCGTATGCACATGTAACCAGGCTGGGCCACTATCCGAAAACGGAAAATATTATAGTACACTTGCGCGGAAGCCGAATGCACTGTCCAACTTCTATGTAGAAGTTGGTATATACGGAATGTACATATACGTATACATACGGAATTGCGCAGTTGTGGACAGCCCATTACAGCCCACGGAGTCCTCCGTACATTTTCACAAGTATTCGATGACAGGCGACCGCACGACCATTTGTTGATTGATTTGCATAGGGGTGGACTCAAGTGTTGGAGAAGGACAGGACGCCGCACCTGGTGAGGAACCCACCTCGCTAGAAGACGACTATGATGCAAAAATTGACTTCGACAACGGTTTCAACACAGAGCCATTCCTTTCTTATTCTTGGGAGCGCGATTCAGCACATCTCCACGGCCAGCAATGGGAATTCCGCGATTGGCTTAATGGCGAGCATGGCATTCAGACCGACTTTCTCGAAAATGGTCTTCCATCCCCTCCCCGTCTGGCCAATGACCGCATCATTGGGGGCGACCCTCGCGACAGTGGTGACTCTCCCGCATTCGATCCCAGTGCTTCCAATCGGGCCTCTGTCGCCGCGAACATGGAGGAATCGCAATTTCCCAAGGAAGCGTTTCAAGATCATGGACAATTCAAAGAGATGGGTGGTGCCGAAGGGGCACTGCAAGGTGGGGCAGATGTCCCAGGCGGATATCTCACCAACGATGACAAGGACGGACCTCCATCTGTTCCAGAGAATGGCCACGATGCAGTAAGTGGCCACAATGGCAATTTCAACTCTGCGGCGGTCAGTCCTGATGTTGCGCTCCAGGGCGTTGCGGGTTTCAACGACAAGGAGAAGGAGTCGCATGATATGGAAATGGGGAAGACTGCCAGCATTGGCGATACGATTGAATACACGGAGGGGGCATTATTGGTGGGTAGTTATACGGAGAGATTGGAACCAAATGGCAGCGTGGACAGCATGAATGGATCCCATGCTGCCAGTATGATTGAAAGTGTCCAGGAGGGTTACACGAACGATGACCTGGGTGCATTCGCTCAGGTTTCGAAAGACGAGAATGGCAGTGGATGGAAGAAAGCAATCTCAGATAGGCTTAACAGAAACCGAGTTGAACATCAATCCAACGAACTGGAGAGTAAGAGCGAGGCACAGGGGGCACTGAAACAGAATGGCACAGATAACTGCACAATAGAAAACGTCTCCTGCGAGAGCTCTGCTGGAAAATCTCAAACAGCTGAAGAACATCAGGATGCAAGTGAGGGAATGAAAATCGCCGGTGGCGGTGATAGTGAACCTGATGCAAATGTTGAAGCGACATCCCTTGATCATGGACAGGACGTCACCATGGACGATAGAAACTCCAGTTTGATTGGAGTGACTGGAGACGAGGTTGAATTCTCCACTGCTGAAGGCAGTGCCCATGGCAACGGTCATGGGAATGATGCCGCAATCAACAGCAACGATAGCGCTTCAAAGAGTGTCAGTGATCCGACTGACGATAGGCATGTCGGCCCCCCAGGTGCTTCTCCTGAGCTTTCCAGGTAAACATGTTTTTCATACGGTATTGAATGGCACCCAATGGGTAATGCACACATCATTTCCATCGTCTGCACAATGTCGCGACCTACCAGTTTCTGTGTTCCCATCAACGGTGCCAAAAGCATATGAGGAGCAAATGAATTCAGCGGGGCTGGAAACGATGTTGCCAGATTTGTTCGCTAGTGGAAAATTCAAGATCACATGCACAAGACCTACGAATTTAGCTGCTTCTGCAACCTCACGTGCAGAACGAACACGTACATGTACGCGAGCAGATGCAAACATAGTGTAACAGTTTGTGGTCAGGGTCAGGTCAGAAATAATTCCACTCGAAACTTGCAATGCATGGCACAATCGCGGGATATTTACCAGAGACTTGCGCGGGATCCGCTGGTACCAAAGCCAATTTCAAATTCTACTCGAGGTGCGCCCGCACAAGCGCTGCCGTGGGAGGAATAAGCCACTGTACAAGGTTGCTGCTGCCTGCTCTGGAACAGCACTGCAGTGGCCTCAGACCTCCCTGACAGGCCGCCACGCGCTCAGGGAAAGGCTGGCCTCCATGGCCACCGACGACGGCTACATCGTGGTGACGTTCTGCAACCTGCACTTCGTCGGCTTTGCGATCAACTGGGCGCGGCACCTCGCTGCGCTGGGCGTCTCGTCCATCGCCGTGGGCGCCATGGACGGGGATGCCCTGAGGGAGCTCCAACACAGCGGCATCAACGCCTTCTCCATGGACAGCCACATGACGACGGGCAACTTCGGCTGGGGCACGCAGAACTTCCACCTGATGGGGCGAAAGAAGACGGCCCTGGAACTGGCACTGGTGGACATGGGACTGCAGGTCATCATCACGGACGTGGACACCGTGTGGCTCAGGGACCCCATCGAGTACTTCAGGAAGTTCCCTCAGGCAGACGTGCTGGTCTCCAGCGACCATTTGGCCAACACGGTGGCTGATGAGGGACTGGAGCTGTGGCCGAGGTGAAGCTTCCGCCAGGCACATTGCGACTGTCAGCTAAAGAGCTTTTGGTAACAACGACGGTAAAACCATCAGAAAAACAGGGAACGTGTGCTACTGCCTGCGTTTAGATATTGGTATCGTTGAGAACCGTTCAAAAATATACTGTTCAATATTGGGCATCTGGGTCCAAGATCTGCATTCAGCTCGAACAGTATCTATTTAACCGAGAATTTGCTTGCAGGCGTTGCACAATGCCTATTGCATGTAATGTCTCAAAGCAATCATCGGTATCGGCGTTTGGTGCCAATCTCGGAACCGATAATGTCGTCGCAACTGCTTCATCTACCGTACGACATTTCTTGTGTGCGTACAGTAAATTTGCTCAACGTTGGAGCAAAAACTTCCAAAACGGCGGAAAATTCTGCAGGTGCCCATTGACGCACCGTAAATCTGCTTTCCACAAATATCTTCTTGATGATGATGAGCATCCGGCACAGACAACTCAAGGCAGCCAAGCACTTTCATTGATACTTCCTCCGTCCCAGATTAATTGTCGTCTGTTTGAAAGGCTAAATTTGTCATGAGGACAGCCTCAAAATTTCAAAACAAGGTCAAAATCGAAAAGGCTGCATCTCAAACCCCTTGACTACCAATTTCAAGAAGGGAAAGTGAGACATGGCCCTTTGAGCGCAAGGAGAAGGTAAATCTTGGTCATTTTCGACGTCGAATATTGAGATTTACTATGTAAAAAGACCCTTGATACAAAGTACTGCCAAATGCTCAATACTTAATGGATTGACTTGAAATTTTTATGGTGTACTCCCAGCTCAAAGACGAACCCGTAGACGAAATTTCATTAAAAACAGTTTCAGGCATGATGGAGAAATAATGACCCCAAATCATAGACGACAATTAATCTGGGACGGAGGAAGTATCGTTTACCCTCAATGCTTAAAACACCAATGAGCGGCCGCCGTACCGAGCACGATCCACACGATGCCCACGTTTGCCTCTCCGCCTTGAAGCAGCATTGAGGCATTGTTGCACAGAAGTTCACAAGACAGCATTCCCAACTCCCTCAGCAAAACGGCAATTCGCGTTCCAAACTAGACATAAGAGTACGAAAGGTCTCAGCCGCGGCGCTCTTCCTGAAAGGGCGCCCGTTGTCCCGACGTTGCAGAGCCGGAGGGCCGCTGAACATCGGCATCCTCATGCTGCGCCCTTCCTCGGCGTCGATGGTGAAGGAATGGCTCGCCGCGGTGCTCAAAGACGACAGCTACTGGGACCAGAACGCCTTCAACGACCTCCTGCGCCAGGGCACCACCCCCAGCGACGAGGGCGACCAGCGCCTGTTTTTGGGATTCCGGCGCAGCCTAAAGGTCGGCGTCCTTCCTGTGTCCATTTTCTGCAGCGGCCACACATACTTTGTGCAGGGCATGCCGCAAAGGCTTGGCCTCAAGCCGTACATCGTTCATACGACGTTTCAGTTCTCCGGTTTCGTGGGGAAGCGGAATCGTTTCCGGGAGGCCCTGCTGTGGGATGACCCCCCTGAGTACTTCGACCGCCCGGGGGGCTACCTGACCTTCGACATGGATGTGCCAAGTGCTTTGCTGGACACGGCGGGCCCCAGGACGCACAAGATCGAGGTCGAAAACGTGATGGGCCACTTTGAGCTGGTGAACCATCAGATCAAGCAGGTTGGTGTTGCATGGATGGTGATGAAAATTGGCACCAAAGGCTTGGTTTAGGGAGCAGCACTTGGTCCCACTGCAGAGTTGAATGGCGTTCACCGTGGAATTGTGCTGACGCCACTGCTGCCGTGCAGATTCGCGACGCCCTGGCCATTGCCAACGCGCTAGGCCGAGCGCTTATAGTGCCGCAGATGTGGTGCGGGCTGGATCGGTGGTGGGCTCCCCACGCGGGTCGAATTCCTGGATCCGATTTCGCACTGCCCTTTCGCTGCCCAATGGATCACATATTTGATCTCGAGAACGGCTGGATGCGAGATTTTGCGGAAGAAGACTTTGGGCCGAGCATCGACTTCCGGGAGTACTCCTTCCTTTCCAATCCAAGGTACCGTGCTTCATGGGGGCGTGCATCAAATGAACGAATAAATGGAAATGCAATTACTGTCCAATTGATGCCTATCCATACTGCACATTTCGACCGCTTGGGTTTATGGCCAATGTCGATGAAGCCAAATGCTCGTAATGCACGAATAGGTTGCTGGCCCGCTTTGTATTGGTATTTGTCAGTTGGTGGTCTCGCACCGTGAAGCACCGTGACGAGGATTTTTTTCAGTCACACAGCGACACAAGTAGCACGTGGGACCATATCAACTTTGCAAAGTGACCTTGGGTAACGCTCTCGTGAAGCGTCTGAACGTTGACGCGCGCTGAAGGCTGCTGGGGAACGAAATGCAATAAGGCGGACGCGAGCACTGAAGTCGATCCCAGCGTCTCAAAGTCGCCAGCACAATGATGGATGCTTCCAGCTGGCAGATCACCACACAGCGCCAAGAGTTCCATTACATGTCATTCTTATCCGCTTGCGCAGTGTTCACTGCTAAGACTCCGGTGATGCAAGCAGGACTATTGTGACTAATCGCGACGGGGTAATAGGAAGCTGACGGCTACCTTCTTGCCTTGTTATGTAAAAAGGAGTGAGGGTGGTGACTAATCGCGACCCACATGTGAGACAAGATACGTAGGCTATGCAAGATGCGGGGGGTTACGTGCTGATGAGGATGGTGAACATGACGACAATGTTTGTGTTTTACTTTACAGTTCAATGAATCGGTACTGGACACCGCTTTTCTCGGGCAAAGTAGGAAGCTGAGGCCATTTCCTTGCCATGTAAAAATGACTGATGATGATGACTAACCGTGGTCCATGGTCCATCAGCCGGAGGAAACAGGTCCGAACTTGCACTAACTCCCCTTGTGCCTGCACCTCCAGGCTCCCAGCGTCGGTCAACGCCTCCCGCATCCGCGTCGAGGGTTGTGACGGCAGCGAAGACCTCTGTGACGACGGCTCCGCGCAAGCCACAATACAGAACGGCGCGGTCCGCCTGCGGCGCAACGCCACCGACGTGCAGATCGCCACCGCGCTGTCATCCGCGCGCAACGTCAAGATCTTGGACTTCGGGCCCCTGGCGGGCGTCTTCGGAGGCCACGAGGACCCGGCGGTGGCCGGGCGGTTCATGAGGCGCACGGCGTGGTACACCGGCCTGTGGTGCTGCGTGCGGGGCGCGCCCGGCCACGTGTGGTACGACATGTGGTGGGACACGGTGCCGCACGTGGACAGGCACGGGCGCGTGCACGGCGGGCCTTGGAAGCTGGAGGTGGGGCCCTGAGGGACCGATGGGTCGACCGGCACCAGATCGGGTCACACACAAGGCGAGCTGCGCTTTAGTTGGCATGCGAGCGATCTGGCTGAGGACCACGCCAGCGGGAGGCGGGATCTGATCGGATCCCACCCCGTCGTGACGGGGCGGCTGGGCGGGCAGGCTCCGCATGATCGGACGCCCCTGCGAAATTGCCTATGGGGAGAACCGAGGGCCGCGGTCAAGGACTTCGGCGCATTCGAGCACCGGCGAGCGACGCAGCTGCTTCACCCACCGGTGCGGTAGGGAGACGAGGCGCTGTTGACGTGGGGCCGCACAGTCGTTTGTGGTGGGTCAATGGGGAATGTGGCCGTGTCTGGGCTGCGCCTTGGACACAATTCTGGGGACGGCATTGAGCCCTCTGGAAGAGGCCCCCACTCCCCCTTGACGTCCTCCTCAACCGGCTCGACGGCCGTCTTGCGTCGCCTGCCCAATTGGGCGCTGAGTTGGGCCACGGAACAGGTCGGCCGCATGTGTACAAACTGCGTTGGACTCACATTTCTGGGACATTCGAATTTGACTTCTCTGTACATTAGCTCGGGATAGGTTGAGAGGATGAGATAGGGGTAATCACCAGTCGTGATTAGTTAAGATCCGTTAGATTGTGGTTTCATCAGGGCATGCGAGTAGTGTCCCTCCTGGCATATGTGGAACTGAAAACTAACGCGGCAAACGCACCGACTGTGTGAAATGTTGTGTGTAACGTGTGTGCCACCACCCTCTGCTTGCAATGGTACAGAAGTACAGCGGACGCAGTGCTGTGTGCACTGCAGGTACAATAGGTACCGCAGGGGAAGAGGTGATTGCGGGTGGTGTGGTGTGGGGGACGACAGGTACGTAGAAACGAAATATACTAACAAAGCACATGCAGACAAGCAAAGACCCCAAAAAGCAAAGAAAAGTGCAATCCCTCCACACGGCCGTGCATCGCCTTCACTCAAAGCGCCTGAGCGTCGCTTCGTCGACCAAATTACGTTCAATTCTTCGATTCTTGGCGTCCACGTTCCCCGCCTCCCCATTGACCCATCCCCTAAGCACCTGCTTGGAGGCCAACTTACCTAAACCCACACAGCCCTTCCCACAGGAATAATCCTTTGCAAACAATGCACACCATTGACTCCAGTGGTGGCAGCAACCATCAGCATATTTGCACCAAAGCGACGTGAACCAGCAGGAAATCAACATCGACGGCATTTATCACAACATGGCAAGCCACTGCCCTGGCGCCCGTCAGCTGATACGGGCCTGTTCAATGGTTGCTTCCCGTTCACTGACGCTGTGAGCCAGCAGTGCATTGCAAAACTTATTGACAACACTCCCGACCCCTTCACTGTTCAGTACCACCTCCATCAGTGACATTTCTGTACAAGCAAGGACATCGCCCCAGCGACCACGTTTCCCATGAGAAGCAAGAATCACTACCTGCAGAATAGCCATACGTTTCAGACAGCTGCATATCCGCCAGAGCCCCACCGCTGCACCATCCTCTATATCCAATCAGCGAAGGGTGTCAGACCCACACGAAGCAAGAAAAACAAGCCATGTGTGCACAAGTACAGGCTTGCGACACAGCGGCAACCCGAAGCCCACACACAGTGCCCAAACGGCTCGACAATTGACAAATCAAGGCGGCACTTCAAAGCGACGGCATGCCATGCCCAAGCTCAACAACCTTCTGCTATCGAGGTATCAGCAAGAATTTGAGGTAAAAAGAAGTCATAGCAAGGCACCAAACAGTGCACTTGAACCCTGGTGCATGGCACCCAAAAGTCAAGGGGCCCACACCAGAATCGGCATAAGCATGGATGCGTGCAACGCGGACATCCCATGTTCATGGGCACGGAATACATGCCTGCTAGGCAGCAGACCCTGCATAGAGCCTAGCCAGATGCCATGTCCCAGACGCTGCACGGATACCATGCCAATGGCTGTGGTGCTGTCTCTCCCACATTCTCTGTCCACGTCGCTCGTGCTCAGCTTGTAAGATTCACAGGGAAGCCAAAGTTCTCCCAAACCCGGATTTCTCCATCTCCCCCAGCCGTCACAATCACCTGGCCGAAGAGGCCAAAACCTTCACCAGTGCCTCCATCGAGTACCTCCTGACTGGAAGGCATCGTCTCCTCACCAGTGGCTATGTGCCCACTGCCAGAGCTCTGGGAGGCGTGCTTCAAGACCCTCCTGAGCCTGTGTGCAGACGACTGCACCACAACAGGGGTGTCTTCCACACTGTCCAGATCTACAAAGGGGCGCCGGCAAGTGTCTGGTGCAAAAAGGGCCACTGTGGCACACCCGTCATGTGCCCGAAACCACTCGTATGAATTGATCTTCTCTCTGGCCACACTGGCATGCACAGGCATCTCCTCTTTGGGGGCATTCTCGTCTTCCCCAAGTTTTGTGCTGTTGTTCCAGATGTAGACACGGCCTTCCTCAGAGCCACAGATTATGTAGCCGCGTTCCAGACAATGAGAAGCAGAGATGGGCAGGCCTGTGTTGTTGGTGTGACCCTTAAACTTCATGACTTCTTTTAGGCCCTGGGGCAAGATCGCAGCTTTCAGGCTCTCCTCCCACATACAACATCGACGAGAACTACACTCATGTATTCATCGCTTGCTTGATCCTTAGTTCACTCATAAACACAAATTCATTCCTCTATTCCCGCATTCTCAGAACATGGTCCGAACAATCAGCAAAGATTTTCCCACAATGCTGCAGGGCTGACCGTACCTGGATCAATCGTATCCTGTTGTCGTTTGAGGTCACCAGCAGCGTTGACGGCTGTCCAGGTATGTATTCCATCCCTGTGATCCTCTTGCCTTTTGAATGACGACCACGCCTGTTTCGGACGTCGATCTGTGCCCTTTTCTCAATTCTCTTCCCGTTCATCTGCAGAGCACCATGCTATTGAGGATAATCCCACCGCATGACTTTCAATGGACCTGAATGTTCTCAGTGGCATGCAGCCCACGAGCTCCATGCCGTCAAGAGCATTGGGGACTGGCTTTCATCTGCGTAAGACTCTAAAAGCAAAGGTCACAGCACTGTTGCAACCCCACACGCACCTCGTAGAAGCGACACATACCCTTGTACGTCCCGGAGGCAATCATCTTCGCGTCCTGTGAAAAGGCCAGTGCAGTGTACATGTCCTCTTCAGAGGCGACACTTGCGGAGGCCACCACCCGCCGCTCCATCACGCTCCACATTCTTAGCACCCCATCACCGCCGCCCGATATAAACTTGCTCGCGTCCTTGGGGTGGAACCTGATGCAGGTCACCCAACTCTGGTGCTGGAACTGCCTCAGGCATTCATCCTTGGTGATGTGCCACAGGCGAACGACCTTGTCCAAAGAGGCGGACAGCACGAATTGGGACTCTGCGGACCATGTGAGGTCCAATATGTCTGACTGGTGGCCCCTCCAAGTGCGCATGGGCACCTGCTTGAAGACTGGCAAGTCCACCCGGCAGCTCTGCTTCTGCTTGTTCGCCCTGCTCAGACCAACAAAGCCAGCATTTCTTCCGCTGCAAAATCTGTTGTTCGCTGCCACAGACTCTTGCATATTAGCTCAGTGACTGAAGTGCCCCAGACAGTCCTTCGATGCATAAAATCCTCTACAATCGTTAAGTGAACCAGTTCACTTGCATTGTCCGATGCTTATTATTTCGTCACAATTTTCCAAGATCTAGAAACAATTGAGCACATGCTTTGCCTTTTCTCATTCCTTGCATGATTGTTTAGTGAGCAAGGTGTTACCCTACATTTGTCCCTTCTTCACCCAATAGCTGTAATTTCTCAAACCTCAAAAACATCACAGCCAACACTACTCCTATCAAGTATAGCACTGCTATACTAGTAGTATGTTACTACACTACTTACGTACAGGGATATGTTTCATAGTTCTACAACAGCATAAACAAGTACAATCACAGACATCACATCGCAGTCATTGTCCACAAAAAAAAGGGCCCCCACGCTGCACACCTACGTCTCAAGTGCCTTTGAGCAGTCGCATTAACTTGCCAATGGAATCTAATCTTTGAGCAAAACGCCACCTAGTTATACTCCCTCTTACCTCTTTGACACCACCTCCCACAGATAAACCACTGCATCTTTGCCCCCGCTGGCAAGCAGCGACCCGTCAGGACTGAACCGTGCAGTCCACACCACACCCTGGTGAACCTTCAACTCCTGCACAAGTCGCAGGTCAGAAACTTCCTTCACAGCCCTCCTGTTCTGCCCCACCTTGATGCTGGCAAAGCCCACGATGCCAGCAGAATTTGCCAATGGGGACCCCAACTGGTCATCAAATGGTTCCACAGGGCTCTGCGGGATGGGTAGCAATAAGCTTGCATCGCTGTCTGTCCTCTGCAAAAGGCACCAGTAGTGCAGATGTCATCAACAATGGTGTACGGACAGGAGCAAGTCGTCCGCTCAAGAGAAGCAGCACAAGGTCAGTCAACCTGTTTGGCTTTATTGACGGACAAACTAAACAATAGGCTGCCTTGGCAACACGTCACACCAGAGATTCCAGGACACAGCACTTCAATTTCAAAACAAGGTTACGCATTATCAGAACCGAAGAAAATTTGTACAGCGAGGCACAGAGCATGGCATGGTGCTGATGCGAGAGATCGCATTGCTGGTAAATGAAGCAGGCTGCACATCATGATGTGTGCATTGCATGAAGGACTCTAAGGGAAGGTGCATTATCATCGCACTACTTGGAGTTCCATAGATCGTTACCAATTGTTGCAACAACAACAACTAGCACCTGGCAGCAGCTGTTAGTAAGGAGGGATGCAAAGAATGCTTAGCAATTTCTTGCAAAGGTGCCGATCAACAATATTCCCGCTCTGCTATTCCCCACCCAGCTTTTGATCTCACTGAGCAACTTCCCATGGCGAGTATGACTCGATTTTCAGGACAAAAGACTCATTGCTGTGGATGAGTAGCTTTCAAGCCTGCAGTGAGTCATACATCCAAACCTAACATACAGGCCACCATACCCACCAACATTCAGTTCTGCACCAACACAATCAAAAAGCACCTCCTGAACATCAACCGTAGCACCTTCTTTCACAAACCACTGCTATGGCTGCAGTCAGCCTTTACATTAAATGCAACCACTTCACACTCTGGACATTGCTTTGTTCCAATGGCCTTGAAGCCACGAGGATTTCATTGGTCATGTGCTTATCCAATGATTGCATCATCGCATCACCAGCGTTCCACACCAGATGCCCTACAAAGGTGCTACACCATGAGCTCAAATAGGCCTGAAGGCAAGCAGCCTAGCACTGCCTTAACCTCAGCCTCAAAGCCCCGTTTCAGTGTTCGACTTTGGCACTGAATGCGCACACAAGTGTGCCGAAAGTTTCTTGCATCACCAGGAGTCTGTGACAGCGATGCAGTTGTTGTGATGGAAATCTTCCGATTTAGCCTGTCAGGTGGGAAATCGGCCGTCCTGTTTCAGTTGCACTCTTGAAAGCATGACAGACACTGCACTTGTGCCTGCAAGGCACTGATAGGCCGTTCTTCAGCAAAGTTAGCTTGACAAGGTATGCTCTCCCTGCAATATCTTATTTTGTGCAAAGGCACTGATTTGCCGTACTTTGATCAATGCAGTCGGTTCAGTCAACACAGTCAACATAGACTGCTGCAGTTCCATTCTTGCCTGACTATTGGATCTTGGACTGTCACCCAGAGAATGGTCTGAGCCTTCTGACGAAGACACGGAGTGGTCATCCCCACCATCAAGCTTGCCTCTCAAGCTCCCGCGATACCTCAGGAATTTCTTGCTGCACAATGCAACACAGCCAACTGCATTCAGTGCTTCATGTGACCTGCTGACCTCGTGACCATGACAACTTGTTGGGCTACTTGGTGTATTCAGAAGCAAGGACTGATATGCTGCTATTCTCATTGTTCTTGCCAGTGGTGACTAGTAAGCAGCATTTTCTGATTGGCGACAGGCTTGCCTTTGCCCAACTGGCAACAAAGAGGTATTCCACCCACCCTTTCAGCCTCTTCAGCTGTGGCAACGAGCGTGGGGTCAGGGCTGGCTCGTCGGATCGCCCATCAGTGGCCCTCAGAGTGTCTGAGTCGCTGCCGCTTGAGTCCCCTTGACCCACTGTCTGCGGCACATGTAGCAGTGCATAGCAAACAGGTAACAAGTTGCCAAAACTGACAAGAATGTTTTCTTTGCACTTTCCAGGCATTGATGGGCATAATGACATTTGCCGAGTACAAAATGCCAATTTCATCATCTCCATCCTGAAACCAATGAAGGAGATTTCCTACATATGGTGTTATGACAAAGATGTGCACATCACCACCAATGCTATACCCGTTGAAACAATGAGCATACACTCGAGACATTAAAAACCTGCAACCTAGCAAGACCCAACACACCATCGCCCAACTGAACAGTACTCACTGTTGCAAGAAAGTAAAACATTGGAATTAACTGTCACCGCCAGAGATGGATGTGAATAATTTTCCGCAGTGAGAGGTGACACAGAGTCAAGTATCAATGCACAACGCCCCATACTACCAATGCTGGCGATGTATGACAGACAAGAGCAAAAGCTGGCCGTCTGGATAGTGCCATTAGCCCACGGCAAGCAGCTGGGCACAACCGATGGCGTTCCCATGCCACTGCCAATCATAACAAAAGGCTCTGCAGCTTGGTAGCAAATGAGCAAGCGGACTGGTCCAGTTTCGCCTTCTCGACCCGCCAGAGAGCCAACGCGGAGCGCGGGTGTGCAAGCCAAAGGTAAACCAACAAGCGTTTTTGATGTCATTCATCGGACTCCCCTCATTGCCTGTTCGCCAATCTGCCCCAAATATTGCTGCAAGAGCAGGGAATGCAGCCTTTGACCTTTCGACGGTCAGTCAGCACATGACGAGCGGCGCCGCCAGGCTCCCGGGATGCGCCAGCTGCGGGCCCTGGGCGACCAGCGCAAGTGCGGAGAACATTCTCGGCGGACGAGGCCGCCCGCGTGTCCCAAGGGGATTCCCGCGGCCACTCTCCGCCGCGGCCAGGCGCGTTCCGCCGCGCGGAGACCGCGCCTACAGATTTCTTCTGAAAGCGATGAACAGCTCGTTTTCGGACAAAGGGGAAGAACCGGCTCGAGACGGGGCAACGTTCGGGCCCACGCTGCCTTGGGAGGCGCCGAGCGGCCTCCGTTCAAGATCTAAGATCGACCCCCGAAATCTTCGGCGCACGCGGTGCCCCAAGGGCCGTTCATTCCTCGCCCTCTACACGGCCCCTTCGACCTATTTGGGCCCGCCGTGGCGCGCATCCAACGAGCAATGGCACGAGGGGTGGTGCCCCAGCGCAGCCCCCGCCACTGCGCCACCGCAGCCCGTAGCGATACGCCTGCCGCGCCAACCACAATCCGTTTTCCGCACCTTTTCGCAGTCTCAACCTATAGCGACAGAACCCCCGCCACAACACCCGGGAGCAACTGCGCGCCCCTCCCGCCCCAGCCAGCCGCCAATCAAGGCGCCGCGCCGAAGCGCACCACCGCCAGCATCCAATGCCAATCCCGCACGCCGCGCCGCCTCACCGTCTGTGCCGCCCCGACCTCCGCCCTCCGATCGAATCCTTCCACCGCTGGCGGTGGCCCAGTGGAGGCATTGGCCTCCTCTTCCTCCTCCGGCTCCTTCCTGTTCTCCCAACCTTTCACAGACGCGTCGGCGTCCGGCTGATCGGCTTCCATGCAGGTTGCGCCCACCCTGGGCTGTGCTGGCGCCTTGCGTGGATGCGCAGCACCTCGACGGTGAGATTCAGCACTCGCGAAGCAGGGAGGCAGCGTGCGCCGAGCGTTGCTGGGCCACGGGCAGGGGAGGGCGGGGGTAAAGTTGAGTGGGAGCAGAGCAACTCGCAGGAATGATGCCTCAGGCCGCGCCCTGGGGGCTTGGGGGAACCGCTTGGAGCGGTGCCAGATGGGCTCTTTGCCCACCAACTGATTCGCGTGTCGTCCGCTGGTGGAGAAAGTGTGACCACTGTGGTGGCGCCGCGAGCGGTGAGGAAGGTGAAGCGGTGAAGCGACTGTACAGTCACACATGTGTCCGGTTGCGAGCGTCACGTTTTGTTGGGACTCAAACTGGTGATATAACGACTGACGCATGGCGGATGGGTAGGTGACGCAACAGGGACGGGGGCTGGCATTGCGAAATGGGCGCAATATCACGCAGAAAGGGATACAGGGATAGTACAGGATGTGGTGAGCCTGAACGGGCTGATGCGGAACATCCAATGCGCTGTTGGCTGCAACGCACATTTCTGTCGAGTTAGGGCATTGGAAGAGTCATGGCCGGAAGTCTCCAGAATTTTCAAACTTGCTATGTATAGAAGCATCGCCCCTAGTTTGGGATGTTGTCCAAGGGAACAAGTTTTGGACCATGGAAGAATGCCGCAAAAAAGCTGGCCAAAATTTGAAGGGAGAAGTCACCATGCACGCGTTGCTGACTGAGACATGCTCTTCAAGACGGTGTGCCTGGCGTGCACTGATCCCTTGGCCCATTTTCGAAACGTTATTTATGGACCAATTGGCCCCACACTCCTGATGGGCAAGCTGCCAGAATCAAAAGTGATCGTCGTTATCGCAAACAATAACTGGCGCATTACAGCCTCCACCACATCTCCCTAGTCACAAAGTCGTTCTCATCGCTTACGACCCTGGTGATCGAAGAGGAGCTGGACGTGTCACAGAATGTGTGAATGCCGCCCGAATTTGGCGTTCGGAGGAGAAATGCCAATGTTGCCCAGGATTCATGTGCTGAACGCTCGGTCGTGCGTTTCCAAAGACGTTTGTGTGAGTGTGCATTGCATTGCAAGTGAATTGGTAGCAAGCGTGCCGTTGCAGCACAGCCAGGCCAGCAGCTGTGAGGCTGTAACGAGCTGTCTGCTACAAGTGTCACAAGTGCTGCACTTGCATCATGCTTCTCAGCAAACCTAGCAGTGCTGGTTCTATTTAGAACCAATGCTGGATTGTAATCCAAATCTAATTGGAACCAACTGCTGGATTTGAATCCAGCAAAGCGGATCTAGTAAATCCGTGTAGCACACGGTGAAAGGACAAAAAGCGCCTTGTCAAACGGATGGAGAAGACTGCCTTTTGTGGGAATGTGCTTCCGCAAAGGCTGCTTCCCACGGCCAGCGCATTTCCAACAGCTGCTGAAGGGCGGGCAAGGCTCCTCGGGATGCACTCGGGTATCACCGATGGCGATGAAGGATGTGGACGATAATTAGTGGCAATTTGGACGAACTCTAACAGCGAAAGATGATGTCTTGAGACCTGGAAATGAACAGCATCGGAAGAGCACGTTGGGCACTGACCTGAGCGCGCTTCTCCACAGCGTGCACGGTTTTGGATGGGTGCCCCTCATGTCCGCCCGTAGAAGGACTCGGGCGATGTGTCCGGGGCAGGATATCCCATCTCCCCCCGACGAGAGTCGGCGTGTCGGCGGCGATTTCGACTGCAAGAGGAGGTTGCTCAGAAGCGTCCACAAAACGGCCAAATCGTGGGTGCTTTGGGGGAAGCGGGGGGCAGGAATCCTTGCTCGACTGCAACTGATTGTCTGCGGACATCAGAGCTGAGAGCCTTCTTAGCAAACGAGAGTGAAAGCACCCACCTGTCCAAACTGTACATTGAAAGCAAATGACGGTTGCCACAAGGGTGTACTATGAATATTACTGGTACAGTTGGATTAGGCACATTGCCGATTCTTTCTGGACGGAAAACGCAAGTTGCGTCTGAGTGCCATGTGCCTGCGTTTCACAATGTTGTGGAGCCTGTGCACTTGCACTTGATGGTGCACTTCCAGCTGCCTTTTTATTAATGTGCAGGTTTACAGCGGTGTGGATGGTTCCCTGGGGGGGCTAAACTTGCAGGTTGCCAACATCACATGAACCAAGCACTTGCACAGTTCAGGCAATGATGAACACAGCAGCCACCGACAACTGTTTCTTCAATCCCCATGGACTGTCTTCCACTGGCTACCAATTCACATCCAATGTGCAACAGTGACAAAAATGCAGTAGAAAGGGCAAGGGCTGGATCGCTACCAAGAAGCAGGAGCAATTCCCTGTGCCACTAGCCCCAATTGGTCAAAAGTTCAACACTAGTGTTGTAATATCCTCAATGATGCCACTTTCCAGGCACCTCTGGGACTGACAATTCAGAGCGTATTTGTCACCTGGCAAGTACGCACACTGCAAAATCTGTTTATGGGTCTGAGGCGTGGGTGGGGCTAGGTTGAATTGAAAATCATCACAATCCACTAACCGTGCAGTGGATATGTGCTTCCATGTATGAAGCCGGGATGGTTTTCTTCAGCCCATAATTTGCCACTGTTAACGGAGCAAAGACAACGGCCAAAGAACAATGCCAGCAACATTTTTCCAAAGACAGCAGACCAACGGCAAGCTGACCGCCTTAGGTAGACCTGTTCGTGTCGTTGCAAGCTCTGTGATCATCGCTGCAGTTTTAGGGTTCACTTGGGATCTAAGTCATGGCTGCTGCTGAAATGTCACCCCATTGACAGAAATTGGCATGACTTGAATGTTACCGATGTTGACAGCTTGTACGTACGATGCTTATGACAGTTCGAAAGTAGACACCTCGTAGCCTTGATGCTGCCAGAGGCCAGCAATGCTTGCCACCAGCTCCATTGCACCAGAATGGGCGGAACAAGATCTGGTCCTGATGCTGTTGGACATTCGCGAACAAGCACACAGCCAGCTGCATTTGTGGGGAGCGACCTTAGGCCACGAGATCGTGCTGGTACATGTGGACGATTTCCATCCATACTTCTACATTCCTGCTCCTCTGCAAACGGGCAGTGGAGGCAAAGACCAAGACGAGTGCTTGCCGCCGCAACCATTGTCAGATGTCGACTGTGATAAGTTGAGATTGTGGATGAATGACTGCTTAGAGACAAACAATCGACTGGTGGATGTTCAACTTGTGAAAAGGAAGCCCATCATGTATTACCGCCCAAAACACCCAGAAGGGGAGTGGTTTCTGAAGTTGACTGTTGCGATGGGCGGCAATGTGAAAAAGACAGCATCAATGGTTGCAAATGCCCTTTCGGACGGCAGGCTCTCCAGCTTGGGTTTCCAGTGGAAAGACACTACAACGTATGAAGAAGAGGTGGGGACCAACATGGCGTTTGCTAAATCCTTATGGATGTCCTGCTGAAGACAGATGTACTGCACCGTATGTTTTGGCTATCTTGATGCGTTGGATATTTTTGGAACCCTGTTGCGGATGGCTGCAAAATTCCATTGTGCAAAATCTCCAACAGGTTGGCACGCAACTACATTGCCCTTCAGCACCTTCAGATTGCAAGGCCAAGTGGTTTGTGATACTCAAATGGGTTGATCATACAGCATATCAATTCTTGCTAACTCAACTTTTGCATCCAATCTGACATCAGCCAATGCTGTAAAATGATGGAAATGTGCGATATATCCAACATCTCTAGCCCTGGAAGGTCCTGACAGTCCTGGTGTCTCAATCCATTGAACATAGTCAAGGCCTGTCAGTTGTTGCTGCCAATTGTGCTCAGTTGTTGGGCATGACATCCTGAGCGAAGGGTGCATAAATCTGCATTAATCACAATCGAGCAAAACTTGATACATCACCTGCCTGGCACATCTTTTGGTAATGTCAGTCGCTGGTCCAGGCACAATTGCAATTCTCTTGTCATTTTCTCTGCACACTCCCTGCAAGGATGCAGCCCAGCGAATGGCTCCGCTTGCGCAGGTGAAGCCCATCATTCGGTTTTTGTGTGACACATCCCTATCAGGCAGTTCATGGATTTCCATCCCCCCTGGGCGTGTGCATGCTTCGGCAGCCCGTCACAGTGACAGTTCTGGAGGCCCTCAGCAGCCTTCAGGCACTGGTTTCGAGGTTGCGGACAGCAGAGACTCGAACAGCGACCTGGAAGTCATTGCGTCATGGAGAGCGCTTCGTTCCCTAACCCCAGACATTGTTGACATCGCCAGTGCATCGACTGACGGAGGTGCGCCAGCAAGCCGTGAAGGCTCCCAAGAAACCCTGAATTGCGCTGCGTTGCCTGAAGGGACGAAGCTGCCGCAAGCCAGTCCGCATTGCAAGGTTGAAGACAGGTCGCTGCCAGTTGGCGATGCAAGTGCCATGCAACTTGCAAGAGAAGGGGCGATTGTGCCTTTGAAGACACTGACAATGGATGTAGTTACAGTGCCCAAGGATGGGTCGTCCCGGACGCCCAATCCCACCAAAGATCCGATCGTCATTGTGGCATGCGATGTGCGATGGACCAACAGAAGCGACCATGGCTCAGATACGGAGAAGGTCGTCTTTTTAAACGGAGGTGTGCGTAGCGACGCCGCGATTTTGGCCGGCAGCTGCAACGTGCCACATGTGACGGTTGTGGCTTGCAAAGGGGAGAGAGACCTCGTGCTTTCATGGCAGCGGTGGCTTGTCAAAATGGATCCGGACGTCATTGCTGTATTTCAGGTGAGCACGCATCAGGGGCAACCCTACTGGAGACTTCGTGCAATCAGTCCCGCTGAGACAATGGTACAGTGATTTATCCGTATTTGGGGTTTCATTAAGTTCGTTACTCTGCTGAACTGAACTGAAATGGCATTCCATGGATCACATGTAGCGAAATCATGCGTCAAAGAATTGACGCGTCAGTGTCTCGACCAGAGGCGCTCGATCAACAGTGTGGCGCATGTGCTGCACGTCATGCATGTCAGGTGTGCTGAAGATTGATCAGCAAGCTTGATTGTTCAAGGCAAGGGATACGCTGGGCGCCCTGCAAGATCGCTTCCGTGCTCTTGGCATTAAGGGCGGCGTGCGAATCTCAAGACTGACGAACGGAAGCGAAATGAAGGTGTCCAGCGTGGTGATGTACAGCCCTGCATGGGTCAAATCGCAGGCGCGCATGGCATCTACCTCCAATCAGGAGACCTGGAAAGTCGATGTGGAGGGCCGAGTGGTCTTTGACATACTGAGGTGAACAAAGCGGCGGCAGTGTGATCAGAGCTAATGGCGTTCGTCATCAGCGCATCCTCTTCTGCTCACATAATTGTGCGATGGCTCTCATTCTTTACCTGCTTCAGATCACGGGTGCAAGTCGTCATTCTACGGGGACTGGCGACTCTGAGTGTCATTATCCCGCAGCCTCCCTTTATGGGCTGCAGTGTATGTGATGCTTGTTGTGACATGGCTGCTGGTGGCATATCTGATGTAGAGCGGAAATGCTGGGCTGAGCCCCAGAGCCTTAAATTCATGCGGTCCCCCCATCGGGCCACATCCCTTCCAGGGGAAGTTTGCCCCTGTTCCGTGTCGACTACTGTGGCTGTGGGTTACGGCCTCAAGAACCTCAGGTCAGGTCTGGAATTATCAGACCGGGCACGTGCGGAATTCGCCCGGATGACCACCTTGATGGCGGCCCCCTTCGCATGTCCACGTGGAGTTGCGTTTGAGCGATTTCAGCGCGAAGATGAAGAGTGCCAACATTGCACTGGCGGTGCAGGCTGGTCCTCACTGCGGTGAATCTGTCAACATTCACCCTCACCGACTGCACCATGTCGCTGTTGAACGAGCCCGTGGAGAGCGTCCCTCCCTGCACGCTGGCAGCCTGGTGGCGCGCCGTCCTTCAGAGCCCGGGCTCGGTTGAGCCACAGGACCTGGAGTTCGACCCTCGGGCCTGCCTGTCCCGTCTGTGCAGGTATGCCATGAGGCGTGTGGACGCCGTGATGAAGCTGATGGACCGCCTGGCGGTGCTCTCGGAGACCGTCGAGATGGCCAGAGTTACTGGACTCACTTTGCCACAGGTTTGGGACTCCCTTCGGCATTGCCCAAAAATCGTCTGGAACTTGCGCTTCATTGCATTCTTGCTACTTCTGCTGCACTTCTGTGTTGCCAATTAGACAATGCACTGGCAACTGAGTTTGGGCATGGGGACGGTGGCTTTCAGTTGGTGCTGATGGCATCCCTTCCTGTCAATCGAAATGTTGCGGTAAGAGACACGGCGCGGTTAGCTGCAGGTCAGGTTTCTCGGTGGGACTCAGTGCGGCAGGCATGGAGAATGGTCTTCAATGAGTTTTCTGAACGGGACAATAGGTGCACCAAAGGGGCAAAAATATGCCAACGTTGGTCCAATGGGAATTTCCCAAGTACCCAATGGAGCACGTCAAGGTTATACAAACACCACGTTCAGCACGTGGTACACTGCGCGCACAAGACTATTGCTAAATCAGAATGGAGATTTGCACAAGTTCAGATTATACGAAGACATCTGTTTTAACGGAATTTCTATTATGTACAAATGAAATGGTCATAAAGTTAGAACACATGCATAGCAACTCATGAAATGCACACACACCATGCATCAGCACTTGACACTCCCCCCTTGCTTTGTGGATCCGTGCCGCGAAGGTCATGTACAATGCCCAAATGATCCGTTCCTGGAGCCTCATCCTGCGCCACGCGCACCAGCGCGGCTTCATCGTGGGCGGGCGCCTGTCCCCAGCCCCCCTGTCAGAGAGCCCCTACCTGATGCACCCCCTGGAGCAGAGGACCACCGGGCTGTACAAGCAGCCCGTCACCCTGCTGGACTTCGCTTCGCTGTACCCTTCCCTATTTTGTGCGTACAACATGTGTTACTCCACGCTGGTCCATCCGGACGACGTGAGGACGCTGGGAGCGGCCAACGTGACGGTCACGCCCACAGGTTGGCGGGACGCTTCTTGCCTTCCCGGAAAGGGCATTATACACGTGCCATTGAACGAATACTTCAAGTAAATAAATACTTACAAGTAACGTTTAGTTGTGCGTTAGCATCATGCATTTGTGATGTACAGTGCGTTGAATTGTGGCCAAACAGCAAAACGTACCAGTGTTGTTTTCAATCTTCAGCGCTGGGCAGCTGTAGTCACTGTTCATTTTTGTTGTGAAAGACGGAGAACGGATACGGAACGTTCCGCTTCCGTACTCCGTCGTGTTGGTTGTTGCATCGTTTGCAACAGCGACAACTGCATGCATGGGCCCCGTTCTGGGATTCACACTCGCCCTCCATCGCTTAAAGGTGCAAGGGCACCGCTTCGTCTTGTCGAAGGCGATTTTAAAGGAGGGCAGCATACAAAACACAATGTATGTGAATACATACAGCTCGGTGACAAAGGCCTGCTGTGAAACAACGCGCATTCCCTGTGTAAACCGGCATCCGGCATGTGGCATGTCCCCAAAATCGATAAATACGGTCAGGAATCTTCAGCATGGCCATGGGATGCGTTCACATTCTTACTGTAGGGTTCTCGAGTTGTTCATGGAAGTCAGGCGTTTCTGCAGTAAACTGTATTGCCCCCATCAGACCGTCTTGCTAATGTTTCCCGGATATTCTGGCACAGTCCCAGAACATCCGGGAATCATTGTCCGGGAAGTAGCTGGTAAACGCCATGATGGCGTTTGGCGTTGCCTGCCCCAATGCTGACTCGCATGTTTACACCACATGTCAATGCCCGCAGGGGCAGTATTCGCAAAGCCGGACGCGCGGAGGGGCCTGCTGCCGTCGTTACTGGCCGCTCTGATGCACGGGCGGGCACTCACGAAAGCAGCTCTGAAGAGAGTTGAGGACAAGGCACAGCGACAGGTACTGGACTCGAGACAAAAAGCGCTCAAGGTTGTCGCCAACGCCATGTACGGCTTCACAGGTAATCCCGACAGGCTGAGTGAAAAGCCTCAACCACATCTCTCGAACAACAAATTGACTGCTTTCCCAAAGCATGGGGAGAACTACTTATTGGAATCGCCAGCGCCCGCTTCCGCTCCTTGCAACTAGTGTTGTCCTTTCATTATCTTTCATTGGCCGAGTGACGCGCAGAGACAGGAATGGTGGATGGAAAGGGCACGGCGAGGGGTCCGTGGATCGCGCAAGTAGGATTCGAATACTGGCGCGGAGTGCATTTTCCCTGCCATAGAATGGAATAGAAATGGCATTTGAAAACCAAGCATTTTCCGCGGAGATGATCTACTATGCAATATTGTATGCACAGTAATGGAGGCTGATGCCACAAAGTATCGTGATGAAGCAATTCACTTATTTAGCGAAATATGTGAGAACCATAAAAAAATGCGCTTTGGGGTGTGGAACGTGTCAAAAATGGTTCCTGAGCGCGCATTTTGGCGATTCTCGCCAACGCACGATAAGGAAGTGGGGTGTTTGACACCAAATCTGCAACGTTGCACGCGAAATTGCCAATGCGCACAGCGGGAGATTAGCTGGGACACCGATGCATTGCGCCGGCGATGAACCGTTCATCACCATTGGCGCCCACATTCAAATGATTGTCGACACCGTGATCGAGAACGGCCCTTGGCGATGGTGTTCCCCACATGCATGAATCGCTGGTGAAGTGTGGCGCCAGCACCGACGTTGAACGTCTCAATTTGAGACAAGACGATTCGTACTCTCTTCCCAAGCGGCTGGTACCGACAGTACACTGTACACAGCAACTGCTGAAAGTACTACTGTACTGCCATGCGGCATGGCTGCAACGTAGCTTGAGTCCGGATTTCAAATTTGCAGATCGGCCAATCCCTCTTTGCCTCAGAATCCGGTGCTCCATTTTCGGTGCGACGATTTGAGTCCATATCGTGCATATATCATATGATCTATGCGATCTACGTTATCTATGTGATCGAGTCGGGGGAGGGAGAAGGGGGGTTAGCGACCCCTGTTTGGCGACCTGTCTAGGTTTACTGACCCCCCGAACGGCTTGTCACTGTTTCCGCAGTACTTTATTGCACTGCGACAGGCCCCAACGCCCGCGACTTTGGCCCTGCGACTAAGTCGCTGGCACCAAAAGCTAGTATGGGGCTGGTAGGCCGGGTGTAGCGCACCCCCTACACTGGCGGCCAGGATACCCCATACAGCGGCGGCCAAGACACCGCCAACACTGGCGGCCAGGGTACCCCCTATAATTGCAGCCAGGGTACCCCCTATACAGGCGGCTAGGGCACCCCTTACACCGGAATATAGGATAAAGAGAGTCGAACCACGCAATGGTGGGCATATCTGGCGGTGTTGAGGGAAGCGCACGGGACTCCTCGCGGGACTTAAACTACTGCTAAACTACGTCAAGTACTGCCGAAGTGCTTAAAGTACTTGTCACGGGGGGTCGCTAAACCGGAGCCCTCACTCCAGATCATATGATCGAATGTCGCACCGTGCAACGCCCAGCCGCGCGCCCGCAGCCCAGCCCCGCTCGACACTTTCCGGTGGCGTCGCCAGGCTCCCAGGCGTCTCCCCTGCAGTGCCTGGCCCTGGCAGACTCCTGCCTGGCGCTGGGGGCCTCCACGTGCAGGCGCTCCCGGGAGATCGTCGAAGACCTCGCGGCGCTCGGCGCCCTGGGCCCCGAAGCCCGGGGAGCCCGGGTGATCTACGCGCAGACGGACTCCCTCTTCATCCTGTTCCCCGAGGCATCCGTGGCGGAGGCATTCGACCTGGGCCAGAGGGTTGCCGGCCTCGTGAGCGGGGCCCTGCCGCCGGAGATCAGCTTGGCGATGGAGAGGGTGTTCTGTCCGTTCATGCTGCTGCACGTCAACCGGTATGCCGGGAGGAGCTTTCAGGGGGGCGAGGGCGGCGGCGAAGGGGCGCTGGTGGCCAAGGGGGTGAAGAGCATGTGGCGGCAGGCGGCGCCCGTGGTGTCGAGGACCCTGCAGGTGGCGTGATTTGCTTTCTTTTCGTCCCTGTGCGTTGAACGCACACGGACACACGAGCAAAATTTGTTCGAAGCGGCAGTGAGGTTCAGCGGATAAAGAATCGACGAGCGGTTGAATCGTGTGCGGTGTCGGATTGAAGATGATGGCGGTGATTCTGAGGGCGGAGTTCTGTCGATCAATGGATGAACCTTGCTATCCACGAATCAATCGATCCAGTATTGATCGAGACTATGCACGAATGAAGCAGTCCACCAATCAATTAACAGACAGAGTATGCATCAGCGCATGTTATTGGGGCAGGAGAACAGCCAGGGAATTGGGTGGCGTTCACGTGATACCAAAGCAATTGGAAATAGAGCCTAAAAGACGAGACAAAGGGCCTGCCTTGAGGACGTTAAGAATGCAGAATGTGTTTTATTCTATTTGTAGCATCAGCGACTCAGAATTGACGATTTCACACATTTTCGTCCCTTGTTTGCATCTGCCCCAGCCTTAATTCTGACAATCGTGTGGCAGGAAAGCAAACCGTGCTCAAGTCGGACAAAAGCGTACAGAGTTCACTGCGCTTTTGTGCTGTTGTCGTACGGCAAACTGCACTAATGTATTGCAGTCGAATCAATTATATTTTGGTAGTTTACGCCACTGTATGACCAATCCAACTCAAACTCGTAGTGTGCACAGTGGTCTCGAAGCAGTGGGTGCTCCACACCACGCAAGGGCACAATTATGCTGGATATAATTGCCTAACGAAATTGTTAAATGCCATCTAATTGAACGGGTCAATGTGCAGGGAGCATTGCAGCGCATCCTCATGGAGAATGACGTGCCTGGGGCAGTGCGGTACGTGAGCGAGGAGATCCAGCGGCTGTTGTCCGGAGACTATGGCATCTGGCACACAATAATGACGGGAGGGCTGTGGCGTGTCACCGGACAGCAGGTAGAAGTTTCCGCTCAGAGGCACTGAATCGTTTGTTGTCGTTGATCAAGTGCCTTGAGTAGAAATGTCCAGACTGCCTGAATCGACGACCCTCTGCATATCCCCTCCAACCCGTGTTCAGTGTACCAAATTATTGCATGAAGACTTGCCAAGTAATATGCTTGATGTCGCTCATAGCTGGGCACATACTGGCACTTGTGTGAATCAATGGGCCTCCATCATTACGTTCGTGCATATCAATATTCAAAAATATTCAGAATATATTATATTCAAAAATATTCTAAACTGCAATCGTCAGTTCGGGCAAGTCTCATTGGGGGCAGTTGGACCCCTAACCTAGTGTCCAAAATCCATGATCTGGCCACTCTGCAGCTGACCTTGCCGGCCAGTGTCCGCATGTGGCAATTTGCGGTGCGTTTTGCCTCTGCAAATTTCCAAGTCAGGATCGCCGTTGGCCGTTTTTGGTTCCTAGATGTTTCAGTGGTCAATCAGACACAAAGCTGGCCCCCTCCTGGCCCAGTATATTTGGCATCCCTCGTCCAAACTCGGACGGAGAAGCCGCAAGTCTGAACGCGTGTTGGGCGCGGCGGTGTGCCGGCAGATTGAGAAGGCCGCCCTGGAGGGTGACGCGGAAGACGGGGCCCAGGGGCCCCACGCAGCCTTGGCGGTGAGGCTGCAACAGAGGGACCCAGACCACAAGTTTTCACTTGGAGAAAGGTTGCAATACGTCCTTCTAGCAGGTGAGAAGGCTGCGAGAGGTTGGCGAACGTGCGTGGGCTGGTGGCCATTTGGCGGTAAGGATGCTGCGAGCCTGCATTGACAGCACCTATTGGCAGCGCGGTATTGCTGAAAAGTGTTCCAACAATTGCGACTAACAATTGCGCGACTTGGCCTATCTGCATTAATCTCTTTAGCTGTATTCAGTCCATTTGCGGTTCACACTATTCACGCGATTTACAGCAATTCAATGGAATTTAACACGGCGTGAAGAACTGTGTGATTTCATCGTTGTGACAAGGCACTGCCGTTACACCTGAGGGGCAACGTGCGGCACTCACAGTTTTCAATATCAAACAACGGCGCTGCTGGTTCCCTCGTAATCGGAGTTCCCTCCCGTCGCCGACAGCCCAGAGGGTTGGAAGACGTGGATGGCTCTGGGGTGCCTGCGTTTTCGTTCCCGCTTTCACATGTTGCTCCCCGCTTAAGTTGCCAGGTGCCGAGTCTGCCCTGATCAAAGGACAATGCCTATTTGCTAATGTGCAAGATACTAGCAGCGATGTGTAGCCTCAGCAAAGACTGGCCATAGGATGGCGAGTACCTGTTTTGTGGCGTTGCGTGTGACAGCATGTGCTGCGTTGCAACGCATCTGAAACAGTCATCACATAGGACACGCAAAGAGAAGAGGTAATGCGGACTTTTTGACAGCAAGACAATGGCAGATAAGCTGCCTGAATAGACAGTTTAAACAACCATCCGATAAGAATTGCAGATTGTGAAACGGCAAGTAGCTGTGGACATGCCATCGTCTGCAAGTACCTCATATCCTGGATATCGAATAAGATACGGGTCTCCCGTGCCATCCTCCGTATCCCGGATATCGAACAGGATATTGACACCGTACCTGGGACAGGCATACAATAGTATTAATGGCCCTGCCTTTCTGCTCCAAAGAAGCACTTGAAGCGGTTCCTGTTTGGGATAGACTCGACAGTTTGCGGCATCTCCGGCATGCGTGCACGCTTTTTGACTCTGTGTGGCCCTAAATTGAAGCTCACACGATGTAGTCGGCGTTCAGAAAAGTCCCCGGCTTCGTCCACGCATGGGGTGATGCCTGGGGACGTGTTATCGCCGGATTGCTTGGATGGCGCTGCACCAAAGCGCGGTTGGATAAGCCTCGAATGTTTAACGCAGGTTTTCGTACACAGAACGAATCTGCAGAGGACCCCATCGTCGCTCTGAAGTCAGGCATGCAGCCAGATTTTGCACTGTACTGGCGGAACAAGCTGATGAAACCGCTTTGTGAAATATTTTCGACGTGCCTCGATCAATCGCAGCTGCAGGTCAGACGTTTTGCCTGGACATGGGAGGCTTGAATTTGTTGTCAACGAAGTGGCAAACTTTTGTTCCTGTTCTGCTTGCTTGCCGTAGCGCAGTCTACACATTTCGTCGGTGTCATTCCACGGCACAAAACAGTTGGGTCTCTGTGACGCCCAGCCCATTGCGTCTGCCAAGAATTGGCATGCTGCATCCTTTAAATATGTCTGATCTCATCAGGATTTGATATTCTGCGCACCGACCGTGCGCAATACCCTTGGTCCTTATTGCGTGGCTGCCGCCATGTTGCTCGGGCGTTAATAAAACTAGATGATGAACGCGTGTCTCTTGTGGCGTTTCCCCCCCTAGATGTTTCTTTTCGCCTTCACCAGGAGGATGTGAAACATGCGGACCATATTTGGGTAGTGGAGGAGATACGCCCGGACAACGCTCGCCCTGAGATATGGGGAGATATTTCGGGTCATACGTTCACTCACGTTGAGTTAAGGACATGTTCTCCAAGCGCACGGCTGGCGCAAATGAGCTTGTCATGTGGCGCAGTGACTTGAATCTCAAACTGTGTCAACTGAGGTTCAGCCGCAGCCTGGCCAATGAGTAGGCAGTTGGATGCCCGTGAGGCCAATCTGACATGGAAATGAATGCCTGTGTCGTAGAATCTGACTTCCGGGCCACACACCATGGTTCACGTGGACCGCAGGCCCACGGAGGGGCATCTGCAGTCACCCTCGCGGCCCACGGGCCTCCGGAAGTTTTTCAAGCGAACTGCCCAATGCCTTGGCTGCAAAAGGACCATGGCGTGGACAGCGAGCCCGCGCGTGGAGCAAACCGCGCCTGGTCCATCGCCGGGACACCGCCCGCAGGTTTCTCCGCCGGGCACTCCGTCAGCGAATGCGTCACAAGGACTCGCAACTGCCGTGGCGTCTCCGGCCGTGTCCATCAAGTCTCCGACCGTGCTGGCCGCATCAGTGCATGGGGATGACTCATCTTACGACAGCCCCAACCCCCAGGGAATGGCCTCGAGCCCGGCATGCCAAGGCCGCATCCCCAGGACGCCTGGGGATGAGTCATCCAGTGCAGCGGGGCTGTGCGAAAGTTGCGCCGAAATGGCGGGGAAGTGGGAGGAAGTGTATTTGAGGAACCTATGGGCGCACGGGGAATTCGAAGCGTCGTACGCCCGGGCGGCCGCCGCGTGCCTGGCCTGCCACAGCGGGGGGCTGATGGGGCGCATTGTGTGCGAGAACTCCGAGTGCCCGGTGTTTTATTCTCGACTGGAGAGCGACAGGAGACGGGAGGAGTGTGTGCGGTCGCTTGAGCGATTGGACTGGTAATGGCGTGCCGGCCGCCGCTGGCCGTGTGCCAATATTCGGGTGCACCAGGCGGTCGCTTGCTTGACGCTGTGCGTGTTAGGTGACACGGATTGGTTTTTGGCTCGCAGGGGGCAGCATGGGCCGCGGCCCATATTGCTGTGCGCATGGTAGGTGAAGCAAACTGGCTTTGGCCTCTCAGGGGTCAGTATGAGGCAAGGCCCGCATTGGTGTGTTCCGATGGCTCAGCTTCAGCGTTGTGGCGTCGCGCTAGGCACCCGCAGCTGGCAAGTGTATCCGTTTGTGGGGTTGGCGGGGCGCAGGCTCTCGAAGGAAGGTTGCGTGGAGGTGCGCGTCCTATTGGACAGAAAATGAGGCGTTTCAGACAAATTCACATCTCGTTGTCGACATGAACAATTCAATTCATGGATTTGTAATCTAGTATATCTGAAAATGGTGTAGCTGTGCTGGAAGTCGCACTAACGATGCATGAAATAATGCCATTCTACACGATATGTTTTTGCCATTCTTCGCAAGTGTCCGAACATGACTGCGACACCCTGGTATGTACATATGCATATCCTTTTGGAAATGTTGACATGACAAGTACCACACAGTGTTAATTCGTCTGCCAGTACACACGATATGGTCCATCAGTGACCATGGATATGATATCCTGGATGGGGCCGTATCAAAGACACGCACATGTACATAGTTGCCCATATCCTGGTCGAGGTGGTATTCTCCAACGAAGTCCATTGCACTGCGTATGGTGTGATTGCCAGACGAGGCAAGTCGTTGGCCATCGAGCGACTCCCGCCCCATTTCTTCTTCGTGCACTCGCCGCTGCCCCTTCACTGGACTGTGACTGCTCGGTGCTTGCACAGGAACGCTTACACAGCTCGCACATCGAGGGCTGAAAATTGGAGATGACGCGCCGATAGCAATGGGTGCAACTGCCTGACGTTTGTAGAGCTCGGGGCAATTCCATTCCCCGCCCCTGCCGCAAGAAATTGCCGCTGAGCGGTATGCTATGTGCGACACAACGTTTTCTCATTGGAGAAGGACGCACCAGCGCATGGCGTGGCTTTCTTTGGCCCTCTGAGAACTGCGAGCACCTCGGCGAACCGCTGGGCTGAATTGAACTTAGATCAATCCTTTGTGTGCCACACCTTGCACGACACAACAGTCCAACCTCCCAACGCTCTCTTGACTCATCGGTAGGGTATACTGCGAATGATGGGGCGGATCAAGGGCGCCCACGCAGGTGCAGTTGCGCAGCGAGTTTGCCATGCGGATGGTCACGGGAGCACTTGCACATGTCAGCTACGTGGTATCGGAACCACACGCGCTGATTGGAGTGCGCGGTTTCATGACAATGGCCACCTGACAGTGGGGGCATCTGTCCTTAACACAATTTCCAAGGCAAGCACGTCTTTGCTCGCGTGGACGTTCCCTTGAGCACCCCTTCAGGCGCCAGCACCTGCGCTGTGAAGACCTGGCTTAGGCGCTGCAGAATTGAGCACCAAATGACGCAGATTTGCGACCTGACCACATCCATCCCGAAACCAACGCTAAGCCCAGCCGCCTTTACTATCCTACTAAAAGTACCACCTTGCCTGGGCACGAAGCGAAAATTATCAATTGGCAGTTGGGTTTTGCTTTTTTGCGACCTGATTGTGATTCCACTACTGAGCGACCCGAACGCGGGGCAACATTTTGGGGGACAACATTTCATTGCCAAATGATTGTTTGCCTCATTCCAGGTGGTCCGGCTTTCAGCGGGCACTGTGGGCCTACTTGTAATATCCCTCACTGGTGGAGAGGAAAGCGAAGCGCTCAGCGGGGGGCTATTGTCCAGGAAATAATATTACTGCCTGCACCAAATCGGTGACTGCTTGCACCAAGTCATGTGCACACTTTGTCCTAACCTCAATTTTAGGGTTAGGTTTAGTTTCAGGGTGAGTGTTAGGGTTAGGGTTGGGGTTAGGACAGGTTTAGGTTTAGGTTTTAGGTTTTAGGTCTTAGGTTAGGTTAGTTTGGACGGAGTTGGACATGATGTGCACGTGACTTGGTGCAAGCAGTCACCGATTTGGTGCAGCCAGTAGTTTTGTGCCATTGTCCAGCCCCCGGTGTACCTGTGTACATGTCCGATGCCCAACGGGAATCCTCCGTGAGCACCTGCACTGGTATTTTGCGCCCCCGCCCACCGCGCGGGGCGTCCCCCCAGGCGGGGCGCGGCATGCACGCGGCGGCCCGCGAGGGTGACGTGGGCGCCCTGGCGCGCCTCATATCCGAGGGCTGCCCCGTGGACGGGCGGGATCGCCACTCCCGCACCCCGCTGCACCTCGCGGCGTGGGCCGGCCATGCTGGCGCCGTGGCCCTGCTGCTGGCCCACGGCTGCGCGGCCGGCGCCGCGGCGGTCGACGACACCAACGCGCTGCATTTCGCTGCCCAGCGCGGGCACGCCGCGGTGGTCGCGGCGCTGCTGGAGGGACGGCGGGTGAACGTGGAGTCCAGGAATCGAAAGGGGGCTACCGCGCTGCACATGGCCGCTCAGAGGGGCCACGCGAGCGTGGTGAGGATGCTGCTGGAGAAGGGGGCGCGGGCCGGGGCCAGGGACCGGCGCGGGAAGACGGCAGCGGACCTGGCCACGGACGAGGCGGTGATCGCGATCCTGGAGGCGCGGTGTGCAAAGGAGGGGCGCGGAGAGGGTGATTGGGACAGGGATGGGGATCCGGGATCCGGCGATGGTGAGGGTGAGGGTGATGAGATTTTGAACAAAGAGAAAGAGGTCGTGCAAAGGTCACCCCTTCCTCCTGGTGATGGCGAGGGTGAGATTTGTGGCAAAGAGGAGAAGCAACGGGTCGTGCAGGGTGCGGCCCCTCCTCCCGGTGATGGTGGTGGTGGGAGGGGTGCCAGGAGGATCAGGAAGCGCGGGGCGGGGGAGGTGGGGGGTGGGACGGTGGGGCCGCCGGCCAAGCGTCCGGCGCCGTCGATGGCGTGCATGGCGGAGGAGGAGGATGGAGAGGGGGAGGGGGGGGGCGGGCAGGAGCGAGGAGAGGGACCGTGAAACTGATGGGGAACAAACGACGATGCTGGACCCAGTGGCAGGCAGGGAAGGAGGATCGGAGTGGCACACGACGATGCTGGACCTAGTGGCAGGCAGGGAAGGAGGATCTGAGTAGCACACAAGTTGCAGCGGCGCACAAGTTGTGGCTTTGAAGCTGGTACGGAGACGTCGATCTCAAGGCCAATGGGTGGGTTTTAACCAACACTGGGGAGACTCGGGGGCCAATCTGTTGGGGTGCTTTGTGTTCCAGGCTCGCTTGGGCAAACCGCGTCTGGTGAAGACCAGGCAATGGCAATGTGCTGCATTTGCAGGCCCTTCAAGCTGGGAGGGATCTGGGCCTGCAACGATGCAGCTGTTCCCTTCTGGAAACAGGGCCGATGAGCTGATGGTGCATTGCCCTGACTATGGGAGCGGTTCGTCGTCAGTTGTGGGACAGGATTGTGCCGGTGTGAGGGTTGATCCAGGATGGGCAGGTAGGGCAGGGACTGTGGTGGGGAAACCTTCAGCACAGGAGAGGGATTGCCCCGCAATTACCCTTTCCTTCAATATCTATTCTTAAGCAAAGCTCGAGGAAGGCACAAAGGCGGTGCCCCCACAGCTCACTTGGACTCAAAAGAGCCTGTGCCATCCGTGCAGGGGCACCATGTTTTGTGGGTCCAGAACAGACAATTTCGCGTTTGGGCACGAATCCGCGCTCGGGTCGCCAACAGAATACCGACCAGCGTCCAGCCGCGACCAAACAGGGCCTAGGGAGCGCAGTGAGGGGGTGTTCGTCATGACGTTAGCAGCAGTGACTTTTCTGCGGTGGTTCTTCTTCTTGCGCCACAAGAAAATGCATTTAGTCGCCTATTTTTCCAGCACCTGGTGCTTCTTGCCGGTGCTGGCTTGGGGCTCTAGAAGTACACGTCAGCGCAGAAAAAAACAGAGGAAATGGACGCACCTGTCGCGAACCCCCCGTGAAGGGTTTTGGACGCAGCCTTCCGCCTCGTCACACCAGCGCGTTGGACCGCGCCAATCGGACAGCCGGGCGCGCTCCAGGCGCGCCCGCCGGCACCAGCCATGCAGCGCGCCATGATCCAGGACCCCATGAAGGTGGACACCAACCGGGGCACGTGCGAGCGGTGCGGCGTGAGCGGCTGCCTGCGGCGGTGCCCCAAGTGCGACACCGCGTTCTACTGCAGCAGGAAGTGCGAGAGGACGGACGCGCGGCGGCACAGGGCCGAGTGCCAGGCCATAGCGGACGGGGAGGGGGATGAGGGTGGCAGCGGGGAGGAGACCGGCACGCCCACCCTGGGAGGGGAGGCGGCCAGGCAGCCAGGTGGGCCGGGGAGTGAGACTTGTCACAAAGAGGGAAAGAACAGGTCATGCAAGGCGCCCCCCCCTCTGAGCAAGTGTATCCGATACCTTTTCCATGCCGTCGTGAAAAGATGATGCAGAGCATCCGGGGGGTTGGGTGGAGGGACCGGGGGCCGTCGCGCGGGCCGTCTTGCGCGTTCGTTTTTGCTGCGGTCTGTTCTGGTCCTCTGAAGAGGGGTTGCAGGCTTCTGGGTTGGCTGGGGTTGGGTTTTTGCGCGCGGCCAGGGAGGATGCCGATCGTGGGGGAGGTGCCGCGGGGAGGGGAGCCGGGCTTGGGCTGTTTGCGTGTGCGGGAGTCCGTGGGTGGGCGGGTGGGTGGGCGGGATCCCGGCGTCGCTTGCAGGCGGTCAAGCAGCGCGTTGACTGGCGGCGCTGTCTGTAGCATTGGCCCGGACTGAGAACGGTTTCAATGAAGAGTTCGCCGTTGTCGCGGATTTTGTCGCGTCCCCTCGTCGGACAGGATACCGAAGTGAGCTGGCGCCGTCCCCGCAGAGGGGACGGACAGAATTTTCCATGACGCCCTTTGGCCGACTGCGCAGTATTGTGGATCGTATGTTGGGTTTTTCAGGCAACCTGTCGCTACACAGGATTTGATGCGTGCGCTAGATGTGTGCATGCAAAGCATGGGCGAGGCCCCCGAATCGCCACCCCGCCCCTCAAATGGTGCGGGCAGTTCTTGTGAGTACCGCATCCCACCCCACCACCCTATTGCCAGTAACACGGTCAGGTGACAATCAGGTGACTCGCAGCTCCAACACCAACGAACCCCGGCAACAGCATCAGCGTCAATGCAGGGTGCAAATGGCCTTTGCGCCAGGAATACTGAGTGGCTGTTGTGGTGCACAGAACGAAGGTGGCTCGATGGCCATCTGCGTAATAGCAGCGCCGCCGCAGAGTGGAAGCGTGACTTGAGGGGCTTGAACAATTGTTTGGCATCTTTAGGACCTCCAAATCTTTTGCAGCCTTTTCTCGCATCCAAGCCGATTTTGACCACTACGCTCTGTCCTCAATGGGTTAGGCGACGTATTCCAGTCGTACAGTTTGCATGTCATGCAATTGTAGCACGACTCCCTTGATTAACAAGAGTTGATGCTGTTGAGTGGTAGGTATGGATCGTCCATTTAACATCCGTGTTTAGTATGGATGGCAGCTGGCACTCAAGAATAGGTGCATTCCCTTTATTGGCAAATGCAAAGTGCTGCGTAACGTGTTGGCCACTGTCTTACTGGTACGTCTTGTTCTGGACAGCAGGTTTGCAGCGCAAGGAGGTGTTGTGGCATGTTCTATGCATGCTGTTAGCAATGGTGGCAATCGTTTCCCTGCTTTGCATAAGGGAGCAGTAAGGGTAACGGAAGCCAAAAAGCTTCTGCAGCAAGCCTGTGTGCAATTGTGATTTGCGCAATAATGTTGCCTTGGTCTCGATGGGCCCGCACAGTACTGGACAGCAGGTTTGCAGCGCAAGGAGGTGTTGTGGCATGTTCTATGCATGCTGTAAGCAATGGTGGCAATCGTTTCCCTGCTTTGCATAAGGGAGCAGTAAGGGTAACGGAAGCCAAAAAGCTTCTGCAGCAAGCCTGTGTGCAATTGTGATTTGCGCAATAATGTTGCCTTGGTCTCGATGGGCCCGCACAGTACTGGACAGCAGGTTTGCAGCGCAAGGAGGTGTTGTGGCATGTTCTATGCATGCTGTAAGCAATGGTGGCAATCGTTTCCCGGCTTTGCATTAGGGAGCAGTAAGGGTAACGGAAGCCAAAAAGCTTCTGCAGCAAGCCTGTGTGCAATTGTGATTTGCGCAATAATGTTGCCTTGGTCTCGATGGGCCCGCACAGTACTTAAGAAAGCTACGTGGGCAGCGATCCGAATGGTTTGCTGCCAATGGAAGAAATCAAAATGTCAATCGATAGGCCACTGCAACAGTAGGTTTCAACCTGGTGCAGGTGTAGAGGAGGGTCACCAGTCAAAGGCTGCTGCAGCCAAAGGCAGCAGTGGCAGTGGAGAGAAATCAACTGTAAGCAAGCAACTGACGTGCCACCACTGCGGGACGGCGGGCGCCAAGAAGAAGTGTGGCGGGTGCAACAAGACGTTTTACTGCTCAAGGGAATGCCAAAGGCAGGACTGGAAGCGACACAGAAAAGAGTGCAATCAGGATGCAAAGCCGGGCGCCAAGGCAACTGCACCACTGAGTGCAGCAGAGACTGGACAAAGGCTGAAGGCGGTGGCAGAGGACTGTGGGTTTACGGTGACAAACCTGAAGACTGGCGAACAGGCATATGAGGAGTACATGAGGGCCATGGCGCGCAGCACAATGCCCGATTCACAGTTCGACTATGGGTTTTAACATTTTTGAGATTTGGCAACACGAGGAAAAGGACAAAAAGACCTGTTGATAGCCAGAAACACCATCTGGGCTCATGAGGAGGCCATTACGAAGATGGTTAGGGAGAGCAGGATTTCGGATTTGGTTGGCTGTGAATGCATTCCACGACATAGAAACTATCAAGAATTTGATTGTGGCTCCAACAGTTGCACCGCATGCGTTTGTCCTCAGATGACCTTGGTATGCACGGACTGAGTGATTGCTCTTTCGATCGACGGCTGCAGAGGGACGCACATCTCAAGCTGACGTTTGCACCTGGCTCTCCTCTATTATTGTGTCAGTAACGAAAGTGGATTTATTCTGTGGCTTGCTGCTGGCTGCTGAGGCGCTGCAAACGAGCTGTAACCTATTGTTTGCTGCCTGTGCCCCCTGCGACAGCACCGCAAGGGAACAAGGAACTGCCGGCAGCCGAGCAAACAAACTGACAGCAGCAAGGAACTCCATACGACGCTCGGCTGTCGCTCATCCCCCCCTTCGGGAATGACTGCCGTGGCTCTGGGACTTCCAGTCCGCACAAACACCACAAGCATTGCAAGTGCCCACTCTTCGAGGGTAAATTGCTGTGGCCCTTTACTCAGAGCCGCCAGCTACACTTCGCGCCATGCCTCACCCCGCCTCACCTGTGATGAGAGCGTGGAACAGGATGGACAGTTGATCTGCGCCGCACAACGGACGCTCAACGGCACGGCCAAAAGCAACGCGTGTGACGTACAGCAACGGAACAACTGCCGCTCAGCACTGCTGCCGATCTTCCGCGACCGTCTGTGCCCCCATCTGGACAGCATTTCACGGGCTCATCAGCGGCTGTGTTCACTTGCGTCACATGACGGCGGCGGGGGGAGCGGAGGCGAACCTGCCCGCCATGTCGGACTGACGTCCTCAAAAATTTCAATTCAATTCAAGCCGGGCAATGTTACATGCCAAGTGCTTCACTGTGCCGTTCACGTCGTGAACTTCACAATCCGCTGCGACACGGTATGATGGGCACCTGCCATCGCTTCCGTTTCAGAGCTTGTGTTCAAAGCAGTATTGTTGTGCAGCATTTAGAGAAATGCCGACCCCCTTCGGGTTGTCTCTAGGAGGCGATGAGCCGCGGGTCGTGGGCGCAGTGTGTTCCTTGAGGACGTGTGTGGCGAGAGTCGGCGACTGGATAGAGATGTCGCCACCTGTGGATGCGGCAAGGCTAATTGCTGCAGTGCACCAAGACGCAGCTGTTGCTTGTGGACTGGCGGATTGCTTGTGAATCTCGTATGGTGTGGACAGTGAAGGTGGTGACATATGTGCAGGGGTGCACATGTTGCTGCCAGCAGCTCGCTAACTGCGCTCAGGATGTGGACCGGTCATCGGCCTCTGCCAGCTGGCAGCTACTGGCCAGTTGCAGTAGTGTCTGGACAAATCCGTGCAGCACTGCACAACGACATGCTTTTCAAGTGCGCTTCTTGTATGTGGCAGCAAGGTCCATTCGCGCGAGATGTCAAGACACGCCGTACAATGTACAGATGTTCGATATCCTTCATTGCCAGTCATGAAGTTCATTTTCGGTTTTAGGGATCTCAAGAGGGGTTAGGTTTTGAGGTGTTTTCGGTGATTCGGTTTTTAGATGTTTTTAGACCTAAAAGGAACTGGCAAGAAAGTGCATACTTTCGGGCCCAGCGCTCGCCGCACACACGTCCAAGTCGGGCGCTTATTGTGCCGACCTGTGAACCAAGCCCATTGGCCACCACCAAAGTAGGGTTTTGGCTGCATTTGACCGGGCGACGCTTCCCGCCAAAAACGTGTGGCCCGGCGCCGGCGGCCGCAGCCGCGCGCACCCGCGCCCAGGCGCAGGTGCCATGCTCTCCCATCGCGGGGCCCTCGCCGCCGGGGCGCCCCTGGTCCGTCCCGGTGCGACCTCCCCCCTCTTCCCGATCCGCCGCGCCGGTTCCGGCGGGCCCACGCGCGCGATGCCCCTTCCGCGCCAGAGGATGATTTTCCGGCGGCCGATGCCATGCGGCCCGGAGCCGTTCCGCGTCGGCGGGCTCCTGTGGGCGGCGCCCAGACGGGATGTGGCCTCGGGTGCGAAGGCCAAGGCGCAGGATGACAACCCGTACAGGGAGACGGTCACGCTGCCGCAGACGGCGTTCAGCCTGAGGGCAAACTCCGCGGTCAGGGAGCCGGAGATCCAGAGGTGGTGGGCGGAGGAGAGCGTGTACGGCGACCTGTGGGCGAACAACCCGGGGGAGGTGTTCACGCTGCACGACGGGCCGCCCTACGCCAACGGCGACCTGCACATGGGGCACGCCATGAACAAGATCCTGAAGGACGTGATCAACCGGTACCAGCTGCTCAAGGGGCGGAGGGCCAGGTTCGTGCCAGGGTGGGACGCGCACGGCCTGCCCATCGAGCTCAAGGTCCTGCAGTCGATGCCGCGGGAGAGGCAGCTAGAACTGACGCCCATCAAGCTGCGGCGCAAGGCCAGGGACTTCGCCCAGAAGACCATCGACGCGCAGAGGGAGCAGTTCAAGAGGTACGGCGTGTGGGCGGACTGGGAGGAGCCCTACGTGACGATGCAGCCGCAGTACGAGGCCGCCCAGCTGGGTGTGTTCGGGAGGATGGTGGCCAAGGGGCACATCTACAGGGGCAGGAAACCCGTGCACTGGAGCCCGTCCTCCCAGACCGCCCTGGCCGAGGCCGAGCTGGAGTACCCCGAGGGCCACACGTCGAGGTCGTGCTACGTGGCGCTGGAGGTTGTGGATGGGAACGGCGTGATCGGGGCGGATGGGCCGTCCTCGCTGGCCATTTGGACCACGACGCCATGGACAATCCCGGCCAACCGCGCTGTGGCCGTGAATCCTGAAATCGACTACGTCGCGGCCGCGGTCAGTGGCAAAGGCGGCCGCGAGGGTGGCCAAATTGTGGTTGCCGCCGAGCTCGTGGGGCGGCTGTCGGAGAAGCTCGGCAAGCAGCTGACTGCTGTGAGTGCCTTCAAGGGCAGGGATCTTGAAGGGGTGACGTATCGGCACCCGCTGTTCCCTGACAAAGTGCAGCCCGTCATCCTTGGGGGAGACTACATCACTACGGATGCGGGCAGTGGCCTCGTCCACACCGCACCCGGACATGGCCAGGAGGACTACCAGGTGGCCCTTAAGTACGGCCTTGAGATCTTCACCCCCGTTGATGACAATGGGGTGTTCACAGAGGCGGCAGGCCGATTCTCTGGAATGGCGGTTCTCAAAGAGGGGAATGAGGCTGTGTTGGCAGAGTTGGAGCAGCAGGGACTGCTCATCAAGGAGGAGCCCTATGTTCACAAGCACCCATACGACTGGAGGACCAAGAAGCCAGTCATCTTCAGGGCCACGGAGCAGTGGTTTGCATCTGTGGAGGGCTTCAGGGAGGAGGCCCTGGAAGCCATCAAGTCCACGTCGTGGATGCCTGCCTCTGGGTTCAATCGGATCAACGGCATGGTGGAGGGTCGAACAGATTGGTGCATCTCTAGGCAGAGGCGTTGGGGCGTGCCAATCCCTGCCTTCTATGATGTCCAAACAGGGGAGCCCCTCATGACACAGGAGACTATAGCCCACATAGCAGAGGTCGTCAGGAAGCATGGCACCGATGCTTGGTGGCAGATGCCGACGGAGGACTTGCTGCCTGAGGGCCTCAAGGAACGAGCTGGCAGTCTCAAGAAGGGCCAAGACACGATGGATGTGTGGTTTGATTCGGGGTCGAGCTGGGCAGCAGTGGCAGAGAAGCTGCCGGGCCTGAGGTACCCTGCGGACCTGTACCTTGAGGGCTCGGATCAGCACAGGGGTTGGTTCCAGAGCTCACTGCTGACAAGTGTTGCTGTCAACGGGAAGTCTCCCTATGGTGCCGTACTGACCCACGGTTTCATTCTGGACGAGTCGGGAAAGAAGATGTCCAAGAGTGTGGGCAATGTACTGGATCCCAAGGTGGTGATCGAGGGAGGGAAGAACTTGAAGAAAGAACCTGCCTATGGCGCGGACGTGCTGCGCTTGTGGGTGGCAGCGGTTGACTACACCAACGACGTTATCTTTGGGCCCAACATATTGAAGCAGACGGCAGAAGTTTATAGGAAGATACGAGGCACCATCCGATTTCTGTTGGGCAGTCTGTCTGACTTTGATGCACAGCAGCACTCAGTTGCATACCAAAGCCTCCCCTCTCTGGATCGGTACATTCTCGGTCGCTTTCACTCTGTTCAGATGGAACTGGACAGCGCGTACAGCTCGTACCAGTTCTCTAAAGTCTTCCAAGGCATCCAGAGATTCGTCATCGTCGACCTGTCCAACTTCTACTTCGATGTGGCAAAAGACAGGCTGTATGTGCAGGGCCAGTCTTCAGGCTCCCGACGCGCCTGCCAGACAGCGATGCACCACATCCTCGCAGGCTTGCTTTCCTCCATCGCGCCCATCCTCCCCCACATGGCTGAGGACGCCTGGTCCTGTTGGCACAGTCCAGCAGATGGGCGTCGTCACTCCATTTTCAAGAATGGCTGGCGCGCCCCTGACGATGAATGGCGTAGTCAGTGGAGTGATGATGACGTGCTGGCCTGGGAGCACGTGTTCCGCCTTCGGGAGGTCGTCACCAAGGCCCTGGAGGTCGCACGGGAGAACAAGCTGATCGGGGCACCCCTGGAGGCAAAGGTGCTCATCCACATGGAGGATCCGTCCAAAATTGAGCGGGCAGTGTCTTTTGGTCCCAACGCAAACGGCGTCGACGAGCTGCGCTACATTTTCATCACTTCGAGTGTGGAGAAGACGACTGAGGACGCAGCTGGCCAGGCGCCTCACTGTGTGAGCGTTGACGTGCAGGGTCTGGGCCGCGTGACAGTCGGCGTGTCCAGGGCGGATGGGCGAAAATGTGCACGGTGTTGGAACTGGAGCGAGCAGGTTGGGTCAGATGGTCGGCACCCTCAGCTGTGCGAGCGGTGTTTGCCGGTGGTTGAGGAAATGGGGTTTGAACTGCCACCCAAGACCGTGGAAGATTCGTTGGTTGGTGCCAAGTCATAGCATGCCAAATCCGAGGGTAGGCTAGAGGGAGTGAGAATGGGCAACCAACTCGCCATTTCCTATTTTTTGCGCCCACTGATGGGGCTCTGGGCCCTTTGATGGAACCCCACTGCCACGGGGCCGCTGGAGGCAGTCAGAGGGCGGGAAGGCGCATCGAACCAGTTCAAAATTTGGTTGTGATAAATTTTGGGGAGCGCATTGTAACTATTCTTTCCAGCATAGAGCACGACGCCCAGCAGCTGCGGTGCTCTGCACAGGCGCGATGCTGGTGCATTTTTCTTGGCTTTGTGGCTAATTTTGGTGGCTCGCTCCAACGGTGGAATCGAGCACAGTAGTGACACTGGTGAGCTCTGTGCCGCCTTGTGTCATGGTGCCGTGGCCTGTCGCTGCAGCGCCGTATTCTTGGCTCAGCTCAAGGCTCATGCTGCGGTATAGGGAGCCGGATTGAGACACTCGTTGATCAAGTTCATCAAGAACCCAGATGTATTGCAAAGCAATGCGCATTCACCTTACGAATAACGAAAGGCGGCTGGCATCGGTGGCGACTTAACTGGTTCAGCGGACGTGGCAGTCCGGGTTAATTGCGAGCAACCTGACGCCCTGATATGTAATCTTTTTAATGGCGGTGACGACGCCCTCTCATGTATGCACGGGTGGTCAGGGGTGCGCACTGGGCGCGCCCTTGTAAGGTTACCAGTCAAAGGACCTCAACAACCCGCTTTGAAGATGTTCACCAGTTGACCGTCTGAATTATTCCAATGTGCCCAACAACTCAACTTCGTTCCGCCGAAAATTGCCTTCATCAGGTAGATGTATGCTCTATCAATAGGGTTTCTTGAAAGCAACGAGCCACAACCGACCGCGTCACTCCTCCAAAGCCAGCGCAGTCCGACCAGCACCCGGTTTAATCTCTATGGAGTATTCAATCTCCTCGTGCCCAAGCTGCCAATCTGACCTTGAAGCTGTGGGTTTCTTTTGCTACTTTTAACACGGCCTGCGCGTAGTAGAGGTGGAAGAAGACATTTAACAATTTTCCTCATCGCCAGTTGCACCGACTATTTCGCTGTTGTCGCGACGCGACATATGGATTCTCTGATGCAACATGAAGAAAACGCCTTGCAAGATGGATATTCGCAAAGACGCTTTCTTCATGTTCCATCCGAGAATTCTCCCAGAAATAAACCTTGTGGTTGTTGGCTTCGTTGCCGAAACTCCTTGCTTTGCGTTGCTAACGCCATGTGGAGCTGCTTCTCGAGAAAGGAGCGCGCGCACCCCTTTTAATTGCCTTGGTCCGTTACATTTGCCGACTGATTGGCATATCACTCTGCACGCCTGGGCGCAACGGCCGCCGTAAGATCCGCGTTGGAAATTGGGCGCAATCTCCACTTGCTGGCCAAGGCGGGGAGGGCAGGCGCACACTAATGCCCAGGCTTCGGCGTTCTACCAAAAAGCTACTCTGTCGTTCATCGCATTCCACGTCATTGGCCTGATACCCACACATTGTGTGCAGAACATCGCGCCAGAGAACATTAGACAGCCGCGGCGATCTCCCACCCAAATTCTTTACAATGCACACGAATTGCAACAGATCCAAAAACAACAGCGCGTGCCGCTCTACACCTCCCACCGTGTGTAGCATTCCCACTCCATCAGAGCGCACCGGCGAGTGTGCTATATACAGTGGAATTGAAGTTCATGCCGGGGGACCGCCGTCGAAGGAATGAACCTTGCCCGATGCAACCTTCAGCCCACGGACAACGCGCCCCCTTCACAACTGCATACTTGATGATGGAACGGTCAACCAAAATTGGACTCTTCGGCCGCGCACGACATCCCGCTATGAAACTCCCCTGGACCACAACTTTCTAGCGCTGCACGTTCCTAGGTTCCGAACCCTGCCTTACTTTTATATTGAGCGTCACCTTCGAAACAGTGTTTCCTGGGAAAACCCCCCGTGCCTGATGACGTCTCGCCAATGCTGTTGGGCACAAAATCGCCTCTCGTTCCCGTCACAGCCGCACGTTCTCAAAAAGTGAACAATACGATGGAACAACAAGCTGACCCAGCGTACAAACTGAACGTGCCACTGCAAATGAACTGTAGAACACCGATTGACACATAACTCTGCCCACATCGAGTTCCCAGTGTTTGCTGGGAACTCTCCGCGCCTGATGACGTCTTGCCAGCGCTACCGGGTAGAAAATCGCCACTCGTTCCCACCACAGCCGCTCAATCTCTAAAAGTAAACAATACGATGGAACAAGAAGCTGACCCAGCGACCAAACCCAACGTGTCCCCGCAAATAAACTGTAGAACACCGATTGACACATATTTCCGCCCACATCGAATTCCCAGTGTTTGCTGGGAGCTTTCCGTGCCTGATGACGTCTTGCCAACGCAACTGGGTGCAAAATCGCCTCTCGTTCCCACCACAGCCGCGCAATCTCAAAAGGTAAACAATACGATGGAACAAGAAGCTGACCCAGCGACCAAACCCAACGTGTCCCTGCAAATAAACTGTAGAACACCGATTGACACATATTTCTGCCCACATCGACTTCCCTTCGAAACGCCACAACGGCGCAGTGCGCCGCCCTCCATGAACGTCTGAGCAGTCCTTTGATGTCGCTTTTACTCGAGCACATGAATGTTCCTTTCCTTGCACATGTCCTTCAAGACCTTCGGCCACACGGTGACGCTGACCTCGCCGATGTGCGCCTTCTTCAGCAGCAACATGTACGTTCGCGACTGGCCGATGCCCCCTCCCACGCTGAGAGGAAGGTCGCCCGTCACAATTCCCTGAGAAAAGCGCAACTCGGAACGCTTACTCATTGCACACAAACCTACAGACTGGTGCATGAGCCGGAACTGGTGAGGAGAACTGGGGCCCTCAAAAACATGGCCAATTTATCCATTTTCTTTTCCGATGAAACTCCATCCGCAAAGATATCCTTGTCGGCAATCGACAGTCACAATAGAATCTTCACCGGTGACAATATGTTGGCTGCAACAACAAACGGTTGGGGAGCATTCGGAAATTGGAATGGTGCGGTCGGACTGGGGCCACTCTCAACATGCCGCTGCCCCTGAAACGGATCTTGGCTGCGCCGCAATCAGCAGGGGCGACGTCCGGCACCGCGATCAGCTGCCCACGACAATTGCCGCTCTCGTCTCACTCTCACCGCGACCAATTGGCGACAGACCTACCCGCCAACAGACACTGGACGAGGCCTTGGGAAATCCAGAATGACGACTCAGATTTGCCGCATGCAAACGCGATGTCAACACCATTACCGATTCACCCTTAACCGTCATCAGAGACTGCACGTCGCCTTTTCCCAGCATGCAAAACAGTTTTAAACACACTAGCTTAAGATGGGATGCACTTTGTGTGATCTGTTTCTTTCTCTTTCTGTAACATGTGCTTTAATGCTGTGGGGGTGTGATTTCTGCCAATTATTGTGCGGTCATTGTAGAGGGACGCCGTTTTGACCATCCGAGTTCAGAGACACGTGGCATGGCCAGTGCGTCAATTTTTCACGCTGCCTGCAAGGATTTGCATTCTCTTTCTGTAACAAATCTCAGCTCTTCACGCCCAAAACCACGCCAGAGTCGATAATACATTAGTCCCTCTGTTCTTTTCGTGAGGCCCCCTTCTTCTGCCGCTGACAAGATCAACGTGGGTCAGTGGGTCAGTGGGTTAGGGCTTAGGGTGTCGAAACAAGAAGGTATCTTCACACCCAAAACCATGCCAGGGTCGATAATATATTGGTCCCTCTGTTCTTTTCGTGAGGCCCCCTTCTTCTGCCGCTGACAAGATCAACGTGGGTCAGTGGGTCGGTGGTTTGGGGCTTAGGGTGTCCAAACAAGAAGGTATCTTCACGGACAAGACAGAGAGACTAATTTCATGCCACACGAGTCCCGCCCCACCTGATGATACGGCTGGCGAAGGAAATCCGTCTGCCCCGTCATCTCCAGCTGCTTCACCAGCGTCTCCGCGTTCACCCGGATGCCCATGGACGACAGCTCGTGCCGCCGGCCCGTGACGGAGTTCCACACGAGTATGTCGCCGTTCAGGCCGTGCAGCTTGATGCCGTTCGCCTCCGTCTCCGTCACCCAGTCGTCGTAGTCGGCGGCCCGCATCTCATGGGGGTGGCCGTCCTTGAGGGTCCAGCCGATGCCGATGATGAAGACAGCGCCATACTCGCGGGCGATGCGCGTCTCGCGCTCCTTACGCGGCAGGTCCGGGTACTTTTCCAGGATCTCCTCGGCGTGGATGAACTTCAGCTCCTCGGGGAGGTTGGGGTACTTGGGGTCCGCCAGCTGGGGGAACATCTCCTGCGCGGGTGCGGGAGATTCGGCTCAGGCCTGGCCGCTCCGCCGGGGGAAACGGGGTGGAGAGCCGTGGATGGAAATCGCGCACAAAACGGCGGCAAATCGGGAAGGAATTGCTCAATATGCGCAAAAGAAATACGCTACAAATACGCTGTATATATGCTGCGGTCCCACTTCGCCGGAGTGGATTGTGGTGCGGGACGCGAATCGCCTTGTAGAAATGCTTGCCGGTTTTAGATGGGATTATAGGGCCACGGGCGTTGAGACACCTGTGTCGCGTTATGACCAAGAGCCATCCACAGGCTGCACACCGCCCCATCATCCAACAGTTCATTTAAAAGACATGTCGCAATGCAAGTTCAACCAACGGCACTGTCCAACACCTCAATCACGTTCGAATCAAGGCACAAACTTTACTTTCGGAATAGTCTTAGGGAAGGAACACTGGCAAAAGAAAAAACGTTGCATTGAAAGTTGAGTTTGGAATTTAGAATGTGCTGCAGTTGACAAATAGTGCAGTGGTTCAACAAACAGTGCGACAATTACACATTCAAAGCAATCCAAACCATGCACTTGATCCGATGTTTAATACGTAGAGCGCTATCACGGCAAGCCCTTCTCCGTGCTATATTTGCATTCCCGCACAATCAACTTGAAGCTAGCAAATCAGATGAACGTGTGATGCCCCCACGAAGATGAAGATCAACGTGGATGTTGCTGGATTCAGATGAACAACATCGTTGTTTAAATTGTGCACAACTTCCACTGCCCTGAATTAATATGAGCTTTGTCAATTCTCGTGACCTTGAAGCCAAGTCAGCCAGCGTTGCAGCCTTGGCTCTACAAATGCCAGCATCTAGCCTAATGTGTGTCTCCTCTTTCAAAGGTGCTCGGAGGTTATTTTTTGTGCAGTTGATCATTTTTCTTGTTCTCGATATTTTGCGCTGCCTGCAAACACACTGACCTGCACGTGGCGCTCTGCGCCTTTGAGCACCTTCCAAATCTTTTGCACCACTTCCTTCAGGAACGCCAAGTTCCTCTGCTCTGGCGTCATGACCAGCTCCCAGTCCCACTGGTCCACGTATGCCGAGTGATCGTGGTCCAGAAAATAATCCTTCCTCACAGCCTTCATGTCTGTCACTATGCCTTCACCCGCACCCATGCCGTACTGCTTCAGTGCATGCCTCTTCCACTTGGTGGCCGCCTGGACCACCTGCAAAAGAAACGGCGTGAATTTCATCCGCGCACATTGTCAAGAAAATGGCTGAGCAGCTTGTGCTGAAAGTACCCCGGTGGCCACCGCAGCATATTCAACCCTTCCGCTTGGCAAGGTAACGTTTGGCTTTTTCGCGGAGAAAACAAAATAAATAGCTATCTTTCAATTAAATTTTGAGGAGCAACGTAAAAAACGAAAATAATATTCTGGAAAAAATGGGGAGCAAAAGCGTGTAAGGATGTAATTTTTTGCTGTGGAAGGCTCGAATATACTACGGCATTGGTCTCTCGAAGAAACTCCCACAGGAAAACACATCACTGCCATTTAGATGAAACGATGTCTGCATATATGCATGTGTTGGAAGAAACATCGCCAGCTGCATGACGCAAGATGTGTGCCATTAACTGTACGGCTGCACTATTTGCAGACGATGCGGTTCCAACCACATGATGTGGTCTGGAGCACATCGCCTCGGGATCTTGATGCCTCCCTGGCTCACGCAGTGCGAGCAGTAGTGTGCTATACGAATCTGCAGCATACGATAAACGGGGCTCCATCTACGATACGCAGTTTCATGCAGCCACGCAGCTCACACGCGGCTCTAAGTGCCAGTATCTGTGGAGCACTGCTGATGTGATTGTGTACCCAAAGGGCGTTACCTCGGCATCTATGGGATTCTGACCGTGGTCATTCTTGATGTGGAACCCGATGGGCGTCCGGGAGCCGTCGCGATCCAAGAGGTCGTTCACCCCGCTGGTGGTGTCCACGATGAGGGGCACTTGCGTCATGATGAGGTTCAATTCCTGCACCACAGTTGACAAAATTGTCAGTGGAAACAATTTCCTAAAAATTAATTTGTCATATTGTCCAACTGAGGTCAGCAAAACGGTAAATTTTAATCAGTTGCATTGAGTACACTGCTGTGAATCCGACAGATAATTGCACATCAAATGCTATGCAGGCAAGTGGGCAAACTCACTCTGCGCTGCATTTACACGATAGTCATAGTAACTACTGAGTTTGATCGGTGTAGGAACAATGTACAGCTTGCATCCATAGTGGGAGCACTGAATTCCTCTGCGATGTCTCTGAGCTGCCGTTCAGGACCACCATTGCCGATTCATTGAAATCCATTGAAAGATGCCAACCAGCACAGCAAGAGAATCACAAGCACCTGGCCAATTATGCACGGAGTCCTTGGCTTACGTGCCAGCAAATACTCCAGATGGCAAACGTTGAGTAAGACCATTGAGGCGTGGATGAAAGAATGTGGGAATGGCACAAAGGCGAAACGCGGCGACAGTCGCCCCAAGTAAAACTGACCGTGCCAATTTGAGTGGCGGGGTTGGCTTTCTGTGAGGGGGGATGCCGTGAGCTCAAGGGAGCAGCACACAGAAGGACATGACATACGTCGTGCGCGAGTTGCAGTAATGGCAGTAATGGCACCGCAAGGAGGCGTTGCATCCTCGTACCAGCGCTGTTGTCATAGCGACTGCTAGTGATTTGGCCCAAACGAAATTTCACACAATTTTGTCCCGGCTTCACCTTGTTGGAAACACCATGCAAAACACCGCTTCTGCGCTGAATAGCGGAAAGGATCACAGACCGAATTCGCGTGCAGAAATGGCAAAAGCAGCTGATAATGAATGCATGAACCGATTTTGGATTTGCTGTTTGCACAGTGCACAGAAGTTGGCAAAGCACGGCTAGTGCATCTTCGAGGGCAATGTCAGGCAGATTCCTGAAGTACACTGCAAAGAATGCGATGTCCATAACACCGTTTCCACAATGAAAGTTGATTGAGATTTATTCTCGATGTGTTTTTTTCCAATTGCGCCCAAGGCCAATCTTTTCCATGGAATCGGGCTGTGCGCAGGGCAGCAACCCTTCCAGGCACTCACCTTGCACAGATTTGCCTCGATGTACTTCTTCATCTCGAAAATGGCGATCTGCGTCTCCTTGGGTGTCAGAAGGGACGAGTAATTGGCGGGCAGGATGTTTGCCACGTCGCCGTAGTTGCCGATCCCTGGCCCTGCCAGGTCCGCCATTTTCTGCGCCTCGACTGCCGCCATCTCAGCGATAATCTGCAGAAAGCGAAACAGGGCACGTGGGATCAAACAACGCCATCAACGCCCGATTTTGTCAATGCTTATTTACAAGGTTAAAAAAATCCATGACAGCAAACATTGGGCAACAAATATTTGCGAAGAAAATGGCACCACGTCAGCAACGTCGTGTACAAAGCACTTTCGCCCGTCATCGCCATATTTGGCACTGGGGGCCTACTTCGCCAAATGCGGCAACTGCCATCATGCAACTCTACCAGCATCTCTTCAGCCGCTGCGAGGGAGACCACACAATGTGCAGCCCCTCCGTTGCGCATTCTTTTCAACGGCAGCTCAAAGATCACTCTATGCCCCAGGGACATGTGGCAATGTTGTCCACACTATAAGGCACAAGATTTCCGCATAATCTTCCACAACGACGAGCGCCCTCGTCGGCGTGGCCATCACAAAAGTGCAATTGAACAAGGGTGGGCGACATGTGCCACCCAGCGACCATGGCGTCAATGTCCGATACAGTCTAGGCACCCCCCCCACCACCACCACCAGGAAAAGGCAATAGGGTCACGAGTCAACGATGAGTGATCGCCACGGGAACATCGAACAAACATTGATTGGATGATTCTGCGCCTGCCACCACCTACGGAGTGCTTGCCTGGGCTCAATTGGTGACGTCTTTTCGACACATAGATTCCGCGTAGTCACTGCTCATTTCACCATTTGTGATTTCACATTTCACCGGATTGGGATCTGCTCCAACAAAGCGAACCGTGCGCGCCCTGTCGCGCTGTTGGCTTTGGTGCATAGGCCCCCGCCGCCTGGAAACAGCGACACTGTGCGCGAGCGAGGGTGCTGGAATGGCACACCGAGCTCCGGCGCACGCCTCCCTAAACGCGCTTGTGGGAATGGATTCGCGCACTGCGCTAAAGGCACAGCGCAGCAAGTCCGGAATCGCGCACACACGAGCGCATGCGAGCGACGCTATGCAGTGAATACTACCCGGCCGCAGCAAAGAGACATTGCAGGCGATGGGCTCTGCCCTTCGTAGACGAACACGAAGAGAAGGCCAACCATTCGTCCCCGTCTCACGGCAGCGCGCTGTGCAGTGCTGCACATTGCACGATATTCCTACTAGGTGGCGCGACTGATTGCGTCCATTACGCGCAGAGTGAACAACGACAAACTGGTACTGGCGCGTGTCGCTGCTGAGCTCAATTCACAAGGAGGCGTTGATTTTCCTGCCAGGCTCCGCGACGGAGCTGCATTCAAAGCAGCCTCCCAGCGAACGGATGATGGTGCCGGCAGACGGCGAGGAATATCCCAACCGGATCAACGAACCCCGTCGCCGGCATCCGTCCTTCACCACCGGAGCGGCAGGCTCGTTGGAGCCAGCATGACAACCGCCCTGGCGATGTTTGTGTCGATCAGCTCCGCCTAACGGACTAGCCTTCCGGTGCTCGGTCCACTCACCGATCGCTCGTCGGTGGCGGCTCTCGCTTCCGCTCTGGAGCAGCAAGTCCAAAACGACGGTCGGCTGCGCTCTCGAACCGGCTCTGGAGCTCTGCAATGGTCGGTGCTTTGGCTTTCGGTAGCCTCCGTACCCCCGCCCACGGCAGGGCGTTTATATGCCACTGCACGCGACCTACCACAAGGGCGGCGATGGTCTACACGGCATGTGCGCTGGGCACACGTCTGCAGTGCGTGGCATGAGTGGGCCTGCGTTGGCAGCACCGCGGCCCCTCTCGGGGGCGCTGCACAGCGATCGGGTAGCGATGACAAAATGCCGCCGAGTACTGTGGAAGAGGCCAGACCCTTCGTCATGAAATTAGTCACTCTATCTTTTCGGTGAATATTCCTCCTTGTCTTGACACCCTAAACCCTAAAAACCACTGATCCACTGACTCACGTTGGCCTTGTCAGCGGAAGAAAAAGGGGTCCTCACGGAAAAGACAGAGGGACTAACGTATCCTCCCGGATCCTTCCCGCTGTGGCGTGCCAAGCATGTCCACATCAGCGCGCGCAACATTACTCATGAGTCTGCAGCAAGCGGGTACGGGAGATACATTTGATCGCCAAACGGATACGGTGGGGATAACTCAACGGCCTGCCTCGTTCTTCGGTTCCAATCCGTTGGTTAGCTTACAATCATATTGTCAGCTTTCAGCGCAATGTCAAGCTCCGCAGCCATCTACATTGACCCTGCAGTGGTCGTCATGCACGAGGCCATCTGGCAGACGCGCACCAGTCGCCATCTCGCCCCAGGTTCCTACATTGCACGTAGCACAAACAACTGTCCATCAGGCTTCCGAATGCCAATCAGCTGTTCATGAGTTGGGTCCATCACCAGCGACTCGATTGTCAACCAGAACGGGGGGAGGATAATCGTGACGACGCGCCACATGAAATTTGGCACCTTCTCCAAGCCGTGTCCCATTTGCAACACAACGATCCAAAATGCAGCAGGATGCCCCGAAGCGCCATATTTGATGACGATACGCCTAAATCAGTCCATGCCTCGAAGAAAAAAAAGCAACCTCCGTAGAAAGTTGCGGTATGGGACAGTTTACGCACCCTTCGTCCATCTGGATCTATATCGTATCCTTTCGCCCCTTTTTGGAAGGGACGCTAGTCCTTTCTCCAAGTCATATTCCACAGCGCAGCCAAACATAAGCCTAACGTACACTCCCAATAACATATCAGAATTCTGAACAACTGCCATGGTGAGATCTTCCCACGGTACTCCATCAGCTTGGCGACTTTATTGTTGTAGCGCAGCACCCAATATTCAAGGCCGTGTCCAACGCCAACTCGATTTCAGCCCATCAATCATAGAATTTCGAACACTCTCCAGTTCGCATCACCATCGCACAAGCAGATTTAACTGTTTGTGTGATGATGCGGTGATTGGTCTCGAGATTTCATCAAAACAATACCTGACAGTGTTCACTGAGCATGCTTCACGGTATCGTACTGGTAACCCGGACAACGACACATTCTGCCAGTCCAATAGCAGCGCGAAGTGAATGTGCCATTGTTCGGGCATTGCACTGCCGCACATTGCAATGCATATGCCATATATGAAAGACATGTGGAAACCCCGTGGGCATTCCAGTTCACTTTGGCTGGCGCTGGCCAGTGCCAACCAAATGTGGGCAGAGCCATGGTTTCATGATCTCACTGCATGGCTGGCCATCACTGGTGGCTCCCATTGCTATTGTTAAAGCAACCTCCATGTGCAGCTGCCCATTAGGGCTGATGAGCTGCTGCTGCTGCCTCACTAATGTGAGGATCCAAGCCTTCCATTTCCTCGCACAGGTGCTGCCGAAGCGAGGCACCTCAATTCAACGTTCGTAAACAAACAAGGCTGGTCATTGAAGCCAAGATAACCCTGGAGGTCTCACAAAATTGGCCAGCAGGCTGAGCGGACATGTGCCCTTTATCTTGTTCTTCTCCCTCCCGCCCAGATCGAAGGGAAAACACTATTTTGAATTTTGCACGCTCCACGTCAAATTGACGTTGAGACAGACCACCACCACCACCACACCCTTAATATCAATCCTTATTGCGATGCCAGGATGACTCAGCAATATTACTTAACAATGCCACACAACTTCAAAACAGTTTTAAGGGAAGAAACAACCCAAAACATAGTGATTGCGGTGATTTGAGCAATGGGATGCCAAAAGCGATGGCAGCAACCCAAAAGCCTGAAAATTGATTCTGTCTAAGGACTATGTGGATGATCGAAAATTTGAGTGAGATTTGGCAGCAAATTATGAGCCATTTTCCGCTGATCAGGGGCGTTCTTGTGCATCTTCCCGCACTATTTTGATTTTTGTGCAATTATGTAATCTCTTAGCGTCAATGGCTGAACCCGAACCCCTCACCCCCCCACCCCCACCCCCCTTTCTTAACGTCAACTTGACATTAGGCGTACAAGAATTAAAATAATGTCTTCCCTAATAGCGTGGGTTCGTGCTTGGATTCTGAATCCAGGTTCACTGAATCAGCGAAGTGCAAATTCTGAGATTGGTATTTTAGCCATGAGCCGCAAAGCAATGAGCCATCGTGAAATACGTCATGGGTTGTGTGATTGTCAAGAATGGTGAAAGACGCCATAGATTGAAAGTGCACTTGTCTGCCCATCGCATAAGTCGGCTGGAAGAAAGATCCCAAGAAGCCGAAGGATGACAACTACAAGTGGAACATCCAGTGAAATTTGAACATGCTTGGTGAAATTTCAGGGCTCACATTGGTTGCAAATGAAAACAGTTGGCAGTGGCGCCCACTAGACTGACTGATGTCAACTATTTGTTCCAAATCTACATCGATTAGATTGCGTCGAATTTGGGTGCTGGCCCCCTGAGGTACGAATAACTATAGTGTTGGGGGCAATTTGGGTCCTTGCCACCTCGAGACGGTCCCAAAAGAAGGAACGCCCAAAGTTTTGACTGGTTGGGCGATCGAGACAGGGCCCTGCAGCAAGAAGTGCGTCACCTAGTACTTAATGTACCAGTGGGGCCCTTGATAGTGTCGGTTACTGCTCAGGCACTTTGTTTTCCTTTCCTGCAGTGGATTGAATCAAGGGCTGCTGACGCCAACACAACCACCAAGAACTGGACCCATTATCAAGCACACTCTCTACTGCAGTTGAGACGATTCAGCAAAGCTTGACCAATGGAGGAGCAGGGAGACGTTCAGGCAGAATACCCCCATAATCCAACACAATCCGCATTAATGCTGAAACCAAATTGATTTGTTCTTTTTACAATGGGTCATTCTGTCACAGACAAGATGTGCTGCTGCAGTGTGCAGCAGCACATTGCCCACTTGGGGGCTGCTCCTATTCCCACAGCAGCAAAGGCACTGCCAGCATCTTGTCATCATGGATTTTCTCACCTCTGAATGTATCTTTGGCTTCAAGACATAATCTTGAATGCTTCATGCATTTTGGGCAGATGGACAGTGCCCGACCACCTGTGACCTTCCCTCAACAAGTCCTTTGTGAGACTGCAGCCATTTGCCACCCTGGAGGTGATTACACTTGCTTCGTCTTGTGGATAAATACAATCCCACCACTATCAGCCTCACGGGAGCACCCAGCAAGCAGCAGTCACACTGTTGCGCGCTTTCCAAACAGTGCACCTGTCAGTTCCCTGTTCATAGCTGATCGCCAATTACCTTCCACCCCCAGCTCACCGCACAGCCATCCCTCACCCGTACACGCCGCCATAGCCGCCCCCACGGCCAGCGGGCGGCATGCTCGAATTTCCCCTCTGCTGCCCCGCCCCCTGCTGCCCGCCACATCCCAGCAGCCCCTCCCCTCCCACATACCCCCCGGCGCCGGCCGGAGCGCCACCCTCAAACGCCGACCCCGCCCGGCTGCCCCCTTCCAGCCTCCCCTGCGGGTATCCAAACCCGCCCTCGGCCATCCTCCCGTCCACCAT